ATGGATGTTCTCAGGGTGTCTTTGTCTCATGACACTAGTCACTAGCCCCCTCTCCTAAAAACGGCGAGCGAAAGCAAAGGAACAACAACAGCAACAACAGCACCAGCCACAACACCAGCACACCGGGCCAAGCATCTGGAGGTTCTACGGGCTGTTGTCGTACAGCTTGAAGCTCCTGGAGGCGTGTAGCTTGAGGGAAGAAGTGAAGCGAAAAACACGAACAAAAACAGAACCCAGTGAAAGCGAACTCGCAAAGAAGCAGCGTCAGCACCAACAACATGACAGGTACACCAACAAAAGCAAACAAAGAAGACACAAGGAAGAAACGAACTACGAGTACAGTGTCGAGTCTCGACTCCCGATACCATGGTGGGTGTGATCAGGGCTTGCCACAAAAAACTTCTTATGACCACTAAGAACGATACATAAATAAATACAACAAAATATATATATATATAATATATATATATATATATTAGAACTATAGTGCCTGGTCATGCAACACATAGAGATCATCTTTCACCAGCTGCCTCTGGTAATGGAAGAGACCCAAGCAATAACCCCATTAAAGGGCAGAGCTTCCTCTGACAATGGTTAGATGGGACAAGTTGACACGCGATGCCGAGAAAGCCCTGGAAACCTTCAGGCCAAATCCTTGGCCACTGACTCTGGTGATGCTTCCCGTGTTCTCTTCCTCTGCGGCGTCTCCATTGTGAAGCAATCAACGGAGCTGTGGCCACAAATCTTGGGCCAAAGAAAAGGCCAAGCACTGCATATGTCAATCCAAACAAAACCATGGTTCCAGCCCCAATGGAGCAACCACCTTTTGAAAACAGTGGACCCACAATCGCAAGTGACTTTCCCCATGTAACAGAAGAGCATGGGTTGCCTATAGAAGCATCTTGATGCATAGCTTTCACCAATGGCACACCGGTTTTTGGTCAGATCTTCCACATGATAGGCCTCATGATGGGGGTAAACCCAATGTACAGCACGGTGTTCAATTCCGAAAGGCACAGAGACATTAGACACCAAAGTGCTGCATCAGGTCATTATATAATTCAATATCATTGCTATGGTTTCCTTTAAACTCGAAACACAAGCAGCACAGAGTTCGCAACGACTTTTGAAAATAACAAATCACAATGGTACAGGCTCAAAATCATGAATTCGCAACGACTTTCCTGTTTGGGAGTAGGGACTCTACAAAGCGGTGGTTTTCCACTTCCACGATGTTTCCAGGAAGTGTAAAGACACGAAGAGACATGCTGGTGGGTGGCTTCAACTCACCGGAAGAATGCACATTTGATGCTCATTGAGTCCTTGCTAAAGCTCGAACAGGTCAAAATCACTGCAATCCCTGCAACTGGAAGTGGAAATATAACCCCTTGGGAGGACCATGTTCTTATACAAACAAGGGGGGGTTCCACTTACCATGTTAGTTCTGGGGAGTGTCATGTTTCTCCCACGCAACGAGAGAGGGCGGAACGCAGGAACGCCAGCAGCTGCAAATGAATGCAACAAATGCATCTTCCGATTTGGATATTTGGACACTCTTGAGCTCACCAAACCCAGCTTCCGGAGACACTCCAAATTATTCGAGGTCTCCACTTGGGGGTGCCACACATCGAGTTCACCACGCGCCGGCCCCCACCTTCTCCCGAAAGTGGAGCACGAAAGGTCGGAAGAAAGCGCCGAATGTGCGAGGCGATGGGAGCAGAATCTCTTGGCTATATCCCATGGTTAGATGGGTCCAGTGGATGATGGTTAGACTGCAGGCCACCATCTCTAAAATACTTGTTTAGCTTACAGGTCATGGAACACCCCCGAAGAATCTCCAAAGTTAGAGAGAGCATACCTTGGCCTTCTTGTCCAATGGAGATCATGAGCCTCCTGAGTAGGGTAGAGTCTTCCATCAGTGACCTCGAAAGGTACTGATCAGTCTTGTTGATGGGTGGCACACACTTGAAAGACCCTGGTTTGTAAAGGGGTGCGGAGTCATAGCAAACGTTCATCACACTGCTGGGTCAAGGGGGGTTGGGTGTCAGCTGCTGTATGCTCTCTGAAGAAATGCGTCACTACTTCTTCCTTGAGGCACCATGTTTCAAGAAACTGAGTTGAAACACCATGTTCCAAGAAACTGCGAAACACCGTGTTCAAAGCAACCGAGTTGAAACACCATGTTAGTTCCATTCTCCAAAGATCTCCAGGGGACTAGCTGGAATGCCCAAATCAAGGTAACACAAGTTCTGAGCGGCACCATGTAGGGAAACCATCCCCGAAACCAAATGACCTGCCAAGCCTTTTTGCGTGCAAACATGTGCATGGTTGGCCTCAACATCTCAACATGGGAGGTAATAGTGAAAATTGGAACACTCAAAACCAATAGATCAAACTATCGAAGGACTTAGGAAATATAAGACTAGTTGGAGGAAGTGACCTGTATTCATTCAACAGGCCGTTGAGACTTCAAACAATATGACCAAGTATAACATCCACAAGCCGTGCCGCGGTGCATGTCTTCTTGATGAACACCCGATCCTCACACGATGAACACCCGGGTTTTCGCACCAGGTGTTAAACCCCTAGGGTCCAGGTACCTCCGTACTTCGGATGGTCTTGGAGGTGAGTTCGTACTTCCTGAGAATGGTCGTTGCCGGGGGGTCAAAGGACATCCGAGAAACGGATGGTCCTGGACCCTTAGGGCCAGGGTTCAGACCTCCTCACTTCCACTCCCCAACACGGCCCAAGAACGAGCCATTCGCAGCAACGAGCACCGCTTCGGTGAGTCGAAAAAAGCCGCCCTGGCGGCCGAGGCCGAGGCGTTTTCGAAGGTGGTTTGCCTGTATCATCTGTATCTGCGGTTTGGCGGAGTTGTTTAAGATTATATTGAGAAACTTGGGGGTGGTCTGACTGGGAGTCACCCCTGTCAAAATTCTGCAAGCTCGGCACGCGGAAGGCCAAAACGGTGGCCACAATGCACCGATTGCAATGGGTGGTGAATCGTCGCGCTCTGCGAAGCTTCTCTCGCAGTTTCTGAATTAACAGCTGGATGCTTTCTGAAAGTGAGCAGTTCTTTTCCCTAAGGGTCCAGGACCATCCTGAGGATGTCCTTTGACCCCCCAAGACCATTCTCAGGAAGTACTTTCACCTCCAAGACCATCCTCAGGATGTACCTGGACCCTATGGGTTTGGATTCTTTTTGTGGTGACCTAAGCCTCAAGATCTGCAAGTAACCTCTGATGGACGAAACCGATCGTGGAACGAATTGATGTTGAGAATGGATCTACCGGGCACCGCGGTCTTGCCTGTCTCTGCGTTGGAACTCTGTGCGTCCGCCCAACTCACCACCCACAAAGATGCTCCAAGCATCTCCAAGCCATGAACTTCTCCAACTGGATTTGTACCAACACACTTATGTACTGGCCAACATGTACCAACCATATTCAGGTCGGCCATCTTCCTCCAGTCCCAGACAGGTTGTGTCCGGGGTCTTTGCTTCAAACAGTTCACAGGGCCATCGGTGGCTAGGCATCAGAGACGACACCAGGAGCCGACCTGGGTGGAGGGGAGGCAGTGCAGCAGCCCTCCAGTCCAGGGGAGGGCGCAAGAGGGTCGGAAAAGATATTGAACATATATAGTATTCATTCATGTATAGGTGGAATTGTTTGGTGCATTTGGATGTTGATCTATAGCGATGTCTGGGCATTTGCCGGAGGGGTGTCTGGCGCATAGAAAGGGAAACGGATCTTCACTAGAAGAATGACGCCTACGGCCTACCCTCACTGTTGATAGCTTGAACAAGTTTAACTTCTGAAAGGAGCATTCCCAACCCCCACACCCGCCAGCAAATCTCAAACTGAACATATTGCGGATTACTGCGGGCATAGAAGATTCAGTCCCAAACAGCCGGGCGGGGAACGATCCCAACACCCAAACCAACACCTTCCCACCGACTCGCCGACCCTCCGACCCCTCTGACTCCGGCCACGGAACCACGGTCGATCCTCCACGAGGAACCAAGCTTTGCTCTCTTGCAGCGCTTTGAACCTCAAGACGGACGGACTGTGGACGGTTGGTGCCCGGCCGTGAAGTGGGTGCTTTTTCCCCCTGCCAGAGGTTGAAGGACCCGACTGTTCGACAATCCCATGCAGTTGGGTACCCGCAGGTGGTCTTCCGGGTCGGGTCCCGGGAGCCCTGGGTCTTCCGGTGGTCTTGGGGGGTCGAAAGAAGGACACCCACGATACGGACGCCACGCGGGGGGGCGGTGACTGAACCGAAGGAGGTCCAATCCGGGACGACTGGGCGATCTGTACAGACTCCCAAAGGACCTAGGTCAACACCGTTTCCACTTGATGGGGACTCCTAGGTCTGGAGTGACCTCGACTCCCCGATGGCGAGGATGGAACGGAGGGTTCTTCCGGAAATGCCAACCCATTATCTTAATACTATCAGGGGATGCCTTAAGTGAAACTTATAGTGGCTTTAAATGGATTATAGTAAGCGGCTATCTGAACTTGAGGGGATGCCTTAAGTGGCTTTCCTGCCTTGGTTCAGCCGAAAACGGTTTTGGGAACTGCATCTTTGGATCCGCCCAGAACACTGCTTCCCACCATATCGCGCTGCAAGTCAAAAGCCAACCGATTGCAATCTGCAAAAAAATCTTCTCGGAACAACACTAGAAGGAGTCCCCAAGGCATTATGAACAATGTGGTTCTCGCCATTCTTCCATCGACAGTGCCCTTGACCCCTGCCCACAGCTTGCAACGCACCTTTGTTTTGCATGCCTCCATACTCTTGCTGGACGCTGAATTGGAGTTGGTGAAGCTGCAAAAGGTCTATTGTAGAGAGATGGGTTAGCGGCCTAGGCTGAGTCAAGGAAAGGTATACCAGGAAAATGATGCCTTACAACAGGCCATGAGCAACTGACAAATCTTCACCGCACGTGTCTAGCTAGTCATCGGTCTGATTGATAGAACATCTCTCCCTTGGCTGGAATCACGTCGCCACTTGGCGCAAAAGCATTGAACACAAAGCGCCCACCAACTCTGGCGCTCGCGGCGCGAGTGCTCGCGCTTGGTGCTCTTGTGGCCGCCGCAGCCCGGAGCGCATTCAACGCAGGCGACTCGGCCCGGAGCGGCGGGACAGGATCGTGATCGAGGGGAAGAACATGCAAGGCATCGAGAACCTGGCGGGGTCTGACAAGGACCTTGCGAGATCCAAGAACCTTGCGGGATCTGAATGGCATCCTGGAAGATAGGGAAAAAAACACCTATGCCGTCGGGAAACTAGGAGGCGGCAGATTCTTCAATCAAGAAACTGAACCATGCACGAGCCATTTCCCCACCAGAAGTCGGAAAGTTCGGCTCATCTGTCCCAGATCAATCTCCGACGTCGAAGCGACCCTTTTTGTCCCCAAGAAGCTTGACCTGTCCAGTTACCGAACCTCTGCTCGACTACCGAGCTGCTTGACGTGTTGCAATCAATCTGGTTGCTATTCAAATAGCACGGTGATATCACCCCAACTTTGCGCATCTGGCTGCATTTTTGCACTCCTATCCTCTTTGACGATTCGGACCAGCCATCGCCAGGCGTCTCGCTCGTCTCGCTCAGTTTTCCGGGAAGAGGGAGCCGGCCTCGGTGGTGGGAGCTGAGAAAGGGAGCGCACCTCCTTCAGATACCTGTTTGAGCTTGCTGGAGCTAGCTTGGCTTGGCACCTCCTTGAACTCAGATACCTGAGACCACATGATGCCACTCCTGATGGAAGACTTAATCTTCGCACCCGAAAACCCCACGAAGACCCAAATCTCAGGAATCAATCCACAGTTGCAGGTGAGTTCTGCTGCAAACCTGTGCGAACTCTGAGATCTACCCTCTCTCCAATCATGGAAGTGGACAATGGCACCAGGAAACATCATGAAATCCACTACAAAAAGAGGTTTGTCCACTCCACGCATGAGGCTGCGCCAGCCCTCAGCATGACATGCAGCCAGTTGGCTCGGCCGAACACGCCATTGGCCTTCTCGGCCTGGAGAATGCGTCGATGGAAGCAAGGGATGCTTCCTGAAGGACCCGAAGGTTCGACTACACCATAGGATCCATAGGTATCCCATGTGACGGGTCCTATTTAGGGTCAAAGGCTACCTCTCTTGGAAAACCAGCACTGCTAAGACTTCATCAGCAGGTCAAGGTGGAATCGGGTCTTGGACTCGCCTTGGCGCCAGTCAGCAAAAAGGAGCGCAGCTGCCCCATCCGCAGCCGGAAGATAGGGAAGAAACCTGCAGTCAAGGGTGCACAACCCTTAATGAATTGGTTTAAGGATGTTGAAGGGAAAATCTGCAGGAAAAACAATGAACAAAACAATGCTTTCACCACCACAACTGTGGTTTTCCTGTAGATGTTCCCTTAAACCAATTCTTGGACTAATTCATTTGTGCCTCCATCTGCCTAAGCCTACCTAAGCCTACCAGCAACCCCCGAAAGATGTCCATTAGTGTCCATTCGATAAAATTGCCTTATGTACAGTAGAGGTTAAAAGGTGTCCATTCTTGCTGGTGCCCCCTCCAAAGTCAAAAGCCTTGTGTATATCAAGGAAAGAGTTGTTCAGGAAGCCATTACGTTCCTCTCTGCGGAACGTAGCTCCACAAAGTCGGAAGATGTCTTCAAAACATACCTGTCTCGGAGTTCCGGCACCTCCAAAAGCAAGAATACCATAGAATACCCTGGAACTCTCTCCTCAGAAGGCATCTATCTTCCAGCTGCCCCCACCCCAATCACCAAATCTGAGCGAGGTTGCTGGAGCCCTTCAAGAAGCTGCACAAATCCAACCACAATTCTTTTCATTATTGACCTTAATCGAACAACCCGTTGCTTATATATTGCAATTTTTAACTCTACAACGCCGGGTCAACCTTTCGTTTCATCCGCTTGGAAGGTTTTTGCAACATACAAATGCCCATGGCTTCCCAAAAACCCTCCTGCCCCAGGGTCTCCCCTCCTGCCCCCCTACAAGACCCTGGGTGAACTCGCCATGAGGTGAGTCACTGAGACCTGGAAGTCCAAAACGTCCGATGAACTCCCAGAAATTGGATGCACTCACTTGCGGGCGGTTCGCATCCACACCAACCCTTGTCATGTTGTATGACGGGTTTTGGTGGTAATGGTCTCCGAAAACTCCCAGAAATTGGATGGGATGCATCATGCATCCTGAGCCCAACTCAACCCCAGAACTTCCAAAAGATGTATTTCTACACCTGGACCAGGGTGATTGGTAGACTCATTCTATTCTTTTCCTCTCTCTCTCTCTCTTTCTCTGGGTTAGGCATTCCTTATCTCTGAGCCCTCTTCTTCAAGGGTGTGGTCCACCTCGAAAAAAAACCCACCGGCCCCAGCGGTCAGACCGGTCTCAGATCGTCCAGGGTCAGCCCCGGGGTGTCCACGGACCGAAGGGTTGATCTCTTGAGCTTCATGACCCGAGTGTTTCTGGACCCCTAGCAGGCCCTAGCGCTCCTGGCCGTTTCGGAGAAGGTGCTTGGGGGGGTAGGTGGGGGGTGGGGGGGAGTCGAACCTAGAGAGTTGAAGAGAATTGACTGTACTATACAAACGTCAACCAACCAGGGTTTGGGCATCGATCTTGTGCAGCGATTTGACGCGACTCTGTATAGCACGTCCCTTGCCTTCCCGGGCGGCTACGCTAAGAGACAGGTAAGGCTAGTCGCATATTGTTGAATATAACTATATCTAACAGTCTGACCAAACGCAAGTCCCGGCTTGGACGCACAGCCTCATGACCCAGAGTCGATCAAACAACCGCCGATCCTAAAGCCGACTTTCCCACCAAGCCACGCTCCGCACGCTTATGCACCTGGCCGAAGGTTCCAAAGACCTGGCGGCGGTTTGGTTCAAAACATCCGCGAGCCAACAAAGGGGCTCTGTCTTAAGGCGCACGCGAACTAGAGGAAGAATACCCGGCACAAGGAGGCAACAAAACCCAGGGTAGTTTGAACCATCAATGCAAGTTATGCAAGATTGCCGGGTAGCAAGGGGCTGACATCTTACTCGGAAGAACATGTGTTGATCTTTGACTACCCTCCCAAACCCTTCCTCCTAAGGGCCTCATGATCTTCCTTTGCGGCATCTTTGCTGTATAATTCCAACCAACACATCACATGGAAGTGGCTCCAATCAATCCTTAAAAAACGCCTAAAAACAATTGCAAGCGTCCATAACACACACACACACACCAAAAAAACACACACACACATCCATGCTCAAAACGTGTTGGGTGGGCTTTCTGCTCACCAACATGAATATCTCCCCTTCCTCTACCTGCCCAGTACGTGCCTCCTACGCCCACCGCCCGCCGTCACGCCTCGGCGCTGATGCCCCGGCGGTGCTTCTCGATCCAGGCGTTGCAGCCCTTCTCCTGGAGTACGGAGAGCGGTCTCTGCAGAGCAGTGTACGCTGGTTTTGGTGGGGGGGGACGGGAGGAGTGTGAGGACGATACCTATATATAGAGCCGCAAGTTGAACTCCATTTTGGGACCAACCACCCAAACTGTGGTCTTTCTCCAATCAATTAAAACAAAAGTGGCTCAGGCTGTAGGAATAGGAGAAGGCTTTCGATTTGGGAGGGGGCAGACTGGCCTTCTCGGGTTTGAGCTGGACCACCGAAATCACCACTGCTTGGGCTTGAGCCACTCTGTGTAGACGCTGAAAGAGATCTTTGGAGCCATGGCAAGAGGAGGGAGAGTTGACCAAAAGCATGTGTCTACCCTCTGAGATGGTGATCGGACACATGTTTATGATTGTTTATGTAGGTTTGCAGGGTCCAGTCATACCTTCTGAGGTACCGTGGCAGTGGATCCCTAGCGAAATATGTGATTGATGGTTGATGTGATCATCATCCCCCACTTGGTGTTGTTTTTCCATGTTTTACCCTCACCCTAAGGGTCCAGGACCATCCGTTTCTCGGATGTCCTTTGACCCCCCGTTCGACCATTCTCTGGAAGCACGAACTCACCTCCAAGACCAGGTACCTGGACCCTATGGGTCACTAATTAGGGGGGTCGATTCATCTCCCTTCAAGCAAAAACGTCCCAGGTGTCGCTCCAAGTCATGGGTGATGTTGCCCACAAGCAGAAGTAGCCGCGAGGCGCGGGTGAAATAGAGACCTGCCACCGGCGCGCTCAGTCGCCGTGGTGAGACGTGTGGAGACGTATGAGAAGTGTGACAAAAACCCGGAAGCGATGTGCAGGTAAGGTTTGGCAGGTGTGTTTGGCGAAATTCACACCTGAAAGAACAACAATGAACAAATGGCAGTAGAGCCAGTATAGCATCTTCTAGTTCTGAGATTATAGACCAAATTTTGTCTTTTGTTCTCAAATATAGTTTAACTAGCACAGAACATTGAGTGCTCTCCATACAAACCAAGCCGGGAGACCCCTGCTTTGGCGGCATTCCTGTTAGCAAATCCTAGCAGATCCTGCCAGCTTCTGGGCCCCCAAGCTTGGTGGTTTCTCTGGGCCTCCATCTATGACATCTACGGGTGCCAGTGCCATCGAACCTCTGAAACCAATGCTAGTGCCAATGCCAGGGAGAGCCGTTTCTGGACCCGGCCCAAGGCTCTGGACCGGCTCAAGGCCTAGATCGAACCATTCCGTGGCCCTACACCGAACAAGATCGGTTGCTTCTAGAAACAAATATCCTAGAAGTCCAGACTATACTATCTTTTGAGCGACTGAAGACTGAGGACATTCCTAGAGTCCAGTTCCTCAGACCATTCTTTTTATAGTCTGTGAGTCCCAGGGAATACTTGTACCATCTTGTACCCATGGTCCAAAGTACTCTTCACATCACGTCACCCCCCAATACACCGCAAAACACGACACGTCTTTTCCATGTCTTTGTTCCCAAAAACGCACCCAAAAAATACGCGTCAAACCGCATAATAGTCTTGCACCCTGCCTCCATCTGCCTCCCCAGCTTGTCTTCCGCAGGCTTCCTCCCTCCAAACACCCAAAAACAAACTCAGCTTGTGTGGTCGCCTGCGAGCAGCTCCAGGGCACTGCTAAGCACTTGCAGCAAACAGGGCAAGGGCCACAGGACCGTCGCCCAGCCGCTGGTGGGAGCCTACGTGACTGGGGCGAAGGACGGCGAAAACCGTCCAAACCCCCGGAGCGATCGATCGATCTCCCCCTAGGGCTCCAACCACCTCCTGAGAAGATGGTTGGGGTGGGTTTCGAGGGTCTAACCACCTTCTGAGGAGATGGTTGGAGCCCTAGGGTCCTGATGGCAAAAGGCAAAACCAAACACGACCCGTCTGGGACTGCCAGGACGGACTACCATAGGACTACGGCCAGGGGTGGTTGACTGGGGGTCTGGCTTGATCGGCAGATATGGCAGTCCCAATCTCCTAGGACCTTCAGTCACCGTGCTCGAGCTCCCGTCACGAAAAGACCTTCTACGACAGGTCATAGAATGTCAACTCCGAGGTCACAAGTTGAAGAAACGTTTTTTAAGGACAACTTCTTCGTTGGGTCCCTTGACATGGGTGAGAAGCAACGTGCAAAGTTTCGTACCTGGATGTCTGCTCAGGGCCACCCCTCCACAACAACCGCCCATGTTATTTTCAACGTGTGACATGGCCGTCAAACTGTTACAAGAATGGTTTGGAACAAGGCATTCATTCACCCATCAGCCGGAACACAATCCACATGGCCTATCTGTTCCAGGACCCTCCTGTCGGGGTGCCCTGTCTGGAAGCAGTAGTAGGTAGTGTGAGGTAGTCCAGCCAGGACACCCGACAGGAGAGTCCAGGTTGATTCCAACACAATGCAGTTGAATCATTCACCTAAACAAAGATCCAAAAAAACCGATGCAAAGGCCCAGCCCACACCACACCGTTGCTTGACACCTCAACTGCCTCCCTCACGTTTTCTGAAAATAGGTCAACCCTTGTCCACCCGTTGGCCGGTTTTGCTTCTTAAGTGGGGTCTCATATCCCCCAAAAAGGTTATAAAGGTTACCCACTTTTCCTTGGTGGGATTACTTCATCTTAGCACACATGCCTCACTCACCGAAAAACCTCGGCTTCACGGTTTGCCGGGCTTCAAGCGGACCGTGCAAGTGATCCAGGCAGGAAGTACCTGGACCCGACTTCAAGTACCCTGGAAAATGGGACAGTACGTGCACCCATTCTCCGAGGCTCCAGGTATGTAGACATGCCCCCCGAACACCCCAGCGCTTGCCGAGCAGCAGGTGTTGCAGGTCTGCCGGGACCAGCGTTCTGCGGTTGCGTTCGGGGTGTGTGGAGGTGAGCCTCTTCAGTGATTTGCTTGGACAAAAAGGTCTCTGTGAAAAAATGGCGGAAAATAATCACCAGAAGGGGTTCAATGCTAGGGCAAGTAAACAATCACCCTTTAGTGGAAAAGGTCCCTTGGACGACTATTTCCTTAACTAAATTCAATTTTATGGCGTCCGTGCGTCAGCAAAACCAAAATGACATCCTACATTTTATGGGGTGGTGAGCTTCTTCGGTCTACTTAAGGTAGCTGACTATAGGGGGATCGCTTCGGTCAAGGTGGTCAAACTAAAGCAAGTGCTCCCTGATGCTGATGGAAAGGCTCACTCAAGCTCAAGCTGGTGAATGAAGCCCTAACCAACGCACAGTCTCGCACGCTTACGAGCAATTACTTGGCCCAGCGTGGCCCCCAAGATCTCACACACGGCAACGCTGCTCCCGACATGATCGGTGCTCTGCATCCAGGATGTCACACCCAAAACCCAATCGCATGTGATGACGGCAAAGTCCATCCATGGATCGCGGTAAACGCACAGGTTCTTTACGTGATTTGACGTAAAGTTCCATGGGGGCGCTGCTTCCAGACTGGTTGAAATTACCTGCTTCGTTGCGGTTCGATCTGTAAACATCGTACCGTAAACCCCTTAGAAAGGGAGAGAAGGGCATTGACGATAAAGGTGGGTGGATGTCTGGTGAAACAAAGCAAACCCGTCAAGGGGGGCGACACAGAATATGTTTAAAATCAGTTTAACAAACTGTGTGGACTTAGATTCTCTAGTGATGTAGACTCTTGATTAGTAGACCCGCCCATTTGAATTGGACATCCTCTTCAGGCTTGGGGGGTTTATTAATCTATTGATCAAGAGTCTGCATTACAAGCCAGGGATGTGCATGTTGCACATGCGAAAAAGGAGCTTCTGTGAGTCATCCTCATGCGAAAAAGGAGCTTCTGTGAGTCATCCTCAGCCAACCATTGACGCACATGCCGCACACTTCCTGGAATAGCGACAAAGCTCCCTGAGGGAATGCGTCACCTATAGGGAATATATGATATACATGGTATCTCTTCAGAATCCATGAGGCAAATTCAGGTCCTCCTGCAAATGGGTCCTCTGCTGCCTGGAAGTCCAGGTAAAGGGTCGGCAGTTGCACAATAAAGCTGGTTGCTTGGAGCATGACAGCCGCTCAACCACTTCAAGCTGGCTTCCATTGGGGTTCCACTTGTAGATTGCACCTGCTGTCCGCGGCTCGCTGAACATGAGAACGCAAACACATCATCCTACCCTTTTTCGACAACCATGAGAAAACGACCCTCTTCGGTACTCAGGCGCATGTCTGAACGTTTCCCACATGCCCTCGGCTGCTAAGCAGCAGGTGCAAGGGGACATGCCTTTGGCTGCTAAGCAGCAGGTGCAAGAGGAGCCATTCTCTCACACACAAACATATAATATATATATATATATCACATACAAATAACGTATTTGGATGCAAGGCACCCGCTTCTACTAACAGCAAATCTTTCTGACGCAAATAGTTAACTATATAATGTTAACTAAGTCTTTCTCATATATATATATATATATCAGGACCTTCCCAGTGACCTCTTCAGGATTGGTAAGTGGCCTGTTTAAGACCAGATCGTGACCTCCGCCACTAGGATCTCAAGTTAGGTCACTGGGAAGTTCCTGAAATATATAATTATATAATTACAATATATATAATATAATATTCCAGCAGTCACAAAGGGGTGCCTATTGGAGGATAGGGGTGCCCATTATCCACTCACTCAGGGACTAAAAACAACCCCTTTGTGACTCCTGGTTTATATTTAATTTAAACATTACATAAACATCTATCTTGTGTTTCATGCCATCTGGGATGTCTTCTCAACGACTCCTCGCCTCAGACTGGCCTCCGACCTCCACCCCCGGTCCTCGACGGTGAATTTGATCTGAGGGAACTGCTCCTGTTTCGCCGTGGGACGGATCCGGTGGGATGGGAGGTCGGTCCGCCGAGCCGCGAGGTCCATCGTGTCGAGGTGGAAGGTGGGCGGGTTCCGGAAGGCAAAGGTGGAAACAAACAAGAGTCACTGTAGTATCAGAACGGCCACCCCACACACTCACACAACAAACACAAATAGAAAAAATGCAAACATGTATGTCAGCACCACCCCAAATAGTGTTATTGAATGGGCAACCACCTGAACGGTCAGACGTTGCACGGCTCCATCGTCTTGTTACGCCCTCGAAGCCACTCAGTCAGGCAGTCAGGCAGTCCTGCCATTCTCGAACCAAGGCCTGGGAGTGAGGATTTGCCAATTTGTTGCCCTACAAGGTTAGTTGGACCTCATTTTACTGAAATGGGTCAGGTTTTCAGGGCCAGGTTTGGACCTGGGTCAAACTGGACTATAGGGTTGAATTCGGAGGCCAAGCCTCTTGCTCAACGATCAAAGGCCTTAGAGGCCAACGGCTCCTTGGAACTGCGAGGAAGTCGCAGTTGGCTACTTCAGGTGGCATCCAATCCCAAACACGACCCATGAGACTCCCAGGCCGGACTGCCGAGAAATGGCCAGGGGTGGTTGAAAAGGGATCAATGTAGGTACATATGGCAGTCCCATTAGTCGTGTCTGGGATATATACTTTCCAGGGAACCCGAGGAAAAGATAGAACAGGTTCGAACATGGTATAAAACCACATCTTCCCCCCAAAAGATCCAGCTTAGGGCGATGGGTTCCAGTTCCAGTTCAACGGACAAAAGCCCGTCACCTAGTTCAGTTCAACGGACAAAAGCCCGTCACCTGGACCCCTGGACCTGGACATCGCCATCTCATCGTCCCAAGTGGCATTGGGCTGTGTGGTCACCGTTGCGACCGGGTGCTCCATCGCGTGGCACACGGCGACCTGGAGGTTCCGTGTGTGGACCGGAACGAGTCGTCGGGGTGTCTATCAATAGCCTCATTAAGGAGGGCAAGGGCCCCTGGGGTGTGTCGAAAATCATCCGGGTAGGACCGCCTGTTGGAAGGCACTGGTAGGTTTCCTTTTTGTAACTGCTATTTGTTTTTTACACATGACATATGAAGTCCAAAGACAGTCCGGATGATCATGTAATTGACCAAGAATCAAGTTTGCAAGAATCGGCTTATCATAGGGCAATTTACTCGTATGTGCAGGGTCTCGTTCACTGGCGGTGTTGAGCATATCAGGGCGGCCTCCCAAACACTCCAAAACGGTCCAATTTAGGAGGAACCCACAGTGTTTTACATGAGGCTAAATGGTGAATGAACAGAATTAATCTGAAACCGCACCTAGGTTTGAGGTCCTCGTCTGAGCGATTGCCGCCGCTCAAATGACCAAACACTCGGCGGCAGTGGCGAACACCGTTCGCAGCTCGCCCCAGCGCCTGACAAAGAATCAAGAGACCCAAGTTCAGCAGGAAGACCAAGATCAAAGGGAAATGCACCTCAAATTCCCGGCCAAGTCCAACGTAATCCGCCGACCCCCGCCGACTGGGGGAGCACTTCAGGCACAAGCTTCGAGGGTAAACCTCGGGCAAGGGGGTAAACCCCAAATTAATTTAATACTTGTAAGACTGGCATTGAATCACTCAGGAGTTCCAGGAGTTCTGCATCAAAAGAGTTTTGGATGCAAGAAATCCTGACCGCCATCTTGGCATTGGTTGTAAAGATTCACGAAAAACTGATACTTCCGATACTTCGGGGGCTCATAAAGTTCATCATGGGACCATTCAATCCTTATCCCTAAGGGTCCAGGACCATCCGTTTCTCGGATGTCCTTTGGCCCCAAAGACCATTCTCTGGAAGTACGAACTCACCTCTAAGACCATCCGAAGTACCGAGGTACCTGGACCTCTGGGTCTAAGTTAAGGGTCCTGGCCCATCTCCGGTGGTCAAACCCTTCGCACCTCAACCTCCGAACTGAACCGGAGGTCGTCCGAGACTCAAATCGGCATTCGAAGCTCGCGCGTTGCCACACCAGCTTCCCCATTGGATGCCTAACGCAGCGCAAAGGAGCAGTGAGGCGACATGTCTTGTCCCTGAACCCCGGTTCCTCCATGAAGGATTGCCATAGACATGGAGACAGCCCAAAGACGTGTTCAACGATCAAAAGGCCATGGAAATGAAGGGATAAGAACCAGGAGTTTCAAAGGGGTGCTTAATGGAGGTTAGGGGGTGCCCAGTATCCATTCACTTAGGGACTAAACACAAACCCCTTGTGACCCCTCTTCCAGGGTACATTCCTCTTGAAGCATGTGTGACGGACACATGTAGTGGTCATTATTGAATTGCCATGCCGCACTTCTTGAATGAAAAGCAGCTATCTCCACTCCTGACTTTGGCACACTGGTCTTTTGGCAATAAAACTACAACTGAACCGGGGAAAGCAATTTGTTCTCTACAACTTGTGGGCTTCCATGTCAATCTGCAGGGGAGTACGCCTTTTACATATCAAAAGGCCATCAATGATACATAGCCTCCGTAAAACTGCCATTTGTCACACTCAGCCACTACTGGCTGCACCTGGTTCTGATTGATGTCACTCCTCTGGTTCAAAATTATATTCTCCGCTTCGAAGACCAGTTCAGCCTAAGAAATGCCAAAGTCAATTGCAAAATCTGAGGTGGTTTTAAACAAACAACTGTCTAAAGCGGCCTATGCTATCAGAGTATGTGCAAAAAATAGTAGTTCTGTCACATTCCCATCCTCACACTTGCTCTTTGGATTCAAAGGTAGCTGTGCCATCTACAATGACATCAAACACCTTTGAGTCAGTCTCGGCCTGCCGATTAGTTCCTGAAGCTCTTCAGGAAGAGCGCCCTGCACAAGTTGGAGGGATGGGAAAACATGAGGGGAAACCATTGAGGGGAAAAGCCAATGACACGACCAGCCGGCGCAACACGGAAACATATCAGTTGAAGGATGCACTGAGTAATGTCATCTATTTAATGTAGAATCTTGATTCATAGATATGGATTGAAAACATGTGTAAAAACATATTATTTGCAAATATATTTTTTGTCATATTGGGGAGAGTTGCTCATCAAGATTCTACATTATCAGTTGAAGGATGTCCATCATACTGTCCATCATCTACCTGAGATGTTGAGGGATACGAACCATCAAGCAAGTGCTTGCCTTGAACAACCCCAAGTCTGAGACTGGCTGTATGGGCTGACACGTCTTCCAATGTTGGCTGATTGGCCAGGCTTTCTTGGGTTGATTGTCCTAATCTCCTCGCTAACTAACTAAACACCAATCTATTGTTAGGGCTCCCACCTGCTGAGAAGGTGGTTGGGGGGGTTGAGTGCCTGAGAGTAACCCTAAGTACCTTCTGAGGATGTGGTTGGAGCCCTAGAGTGTCTAGTAAGGGATTGGGGTAACGAGCCATCGCCCCCAGCTCCAGCTCCAGGATTGATGGATCCCCACAGGATGGGGGAGCAGCTGTCGCTTTGCTTCGTCTCTCACTCTCGTTCCACTACCAGACACGACGAATGGAACCGGCATATTTGACCTACCGTATGGGGTGGGTTTTTTCCAGGCGTCCATGTATGTAAATATATGCCCAAACCGTGTCGGTAAATATGCCCAGACCCATGTTTCGTGGGACTGGGACTGGGGATGCCCACCCCGTTCTCCGTGAAAACCCACCCCGTTCTCCAGCGACCAACACGGGGTGGTGCCCTGGATCGGTCTTCCGCCATGACGTCCGGTGGACTCCACTCCCGGGGACGTCGGCACGAATCGGCTGAGTCGTTGAGGTGAGTTCGGCACGAAACCACCGAGGTGGGTCGCCACCGGCCGAACGCAGGACCCTGCGAAGTACGGTGATAGGAGTCACATGGAGGCCAGGGTGGTATTTAGTCCCATCCAGGGGCCGTGGATGTTCTGGGCACTCCGACTACCTCCGTTCGGCACGGCATGCCGTCGAACGTGACTGTTAGGTGGACCCTATATGGGACTGTTCTCTTCGACTTTCGGAGGGGCTCCAAGGTTCCGCCTCCGTAGCGGTCCGGGTCTCGCCGAACGAACGGCGAGACCCTTCACTCGATGCATGTCCAAACGAAGCACCGCCACATCGCTCCCAAATCGATTTGGGTTGGTGGCTCCCAAAAGCAGGAGACAGAGCACATCCTTGGACAGGGGGAAAAGGAAAAGATCACCCGAGGCCCAGCGAAATCAGGAAAGTGACAACCACCAAAGACCAACAAACAACGAAAACATAGGAAAACCCACATACAACTCTTCAGGCCCATCAAAAAACAAGGGAGCCGGCCTCCCCCGGACCATGAATCACAAGCACCTGGTGTAGCATCATGCACCAGCCCCAACCACGAGGTACAACTCTGGAGAGCACCCCCATGTGTTCCTGGAGTTGCTTGTATTCTCAGGTTTTGGAACCTCGTTCTGGTCACCGTGGAACCTTTAACAAACACAACCTTGCTTACATTGGCCCACCAGAAAATACCTCTAACAGGGCATAGAACACCCTGCTTCCACCTCTTTTCCTGATCTTCAGCGCATGGGATGTTCGCCAGTCCACGCACAAAATTGCGCCGACCTTCGTCTCCTCTAAGAAGCTGCCGATCTGCCCATGACCTCAGTCATGAGCGGTGCTTCATCTGGGTGCTTCCACCTTGCCCAGCAGACCTTCTGGGTGCCAGATCAATCTGTTTCACATGTTTCACAAGCAGCTTCCTCTTCAGGAGCGGTCCATATGCCCAGAGCTGGCATCGGATAGCCAGCTCGTCGCCTGCAGTGATGGTGCTGTATGCACCACTGCTGCCACAAGCCCCTGCCACTTCTGGGAGCCCCCAGCAATCGACGATCGGCTCTCGCATCTCTTCCACCTCAGCACCAGTGCAATGGCTTAAAGGAGGTGTTCCTGTCTGGGGCTGAAAACCTCAGTAAGTTGTGGATAGTCCAAACGACTGTCAAAAAGTTCCTACCACAAGATACAGAAAGCTCCTACCACAAGATACCACAAATATAGATCCCTGCTACAGTAGGGCTCCAAGCACCTCCTCGACTCCTCGGAAGGTATTTGAACACTCTAAGCCCTGCCCATAGTCCTAAGAAGGTACTTGGAGCCCTGGGGATTGATAGTTTGCGTTCGCATTCAAATCTTCTCGGCCACAACATGTCAGAACCAGCAACGGTAGCAAGCAAGCTGGAGTGTGCACAGCAAGACATGCAAGAAGCACCTCCAGCTGCAAACATCCAACATCTGACATGTTTATATGAGACAGCGAGTTGATATCCTGCTGGAGACTCTCTCCAAGGCCCACCTGTCCAAAGCTGAGGGTCCTGGACACTCCCGGTGCTGGCAACAGATGGGGCCAAGAAGCATGTCAACAAGCCAAATAAGTGAATAAATACTCTGAGGTCGACTCTTTCAAAAGGGGGATGGATTTTAAGACCCCAAAGGTGAGTGGAACATGGTACACCATTCCTTTCAAACCTCCTCCTTCCCAAGAATATTGGACATGGCAGGTCATTCTGCACGTGAACCAACAGTTTTCCATAGGTTCGGGCCGCGACTGTTAGGGGATTGGGGGCCTTTTACAGCTGGCGTTCTCCTAAGGATGTGTCATAAGGTGTTAGCACCAAAATCCAGGTCAAGCCCCCTTTTTTGCATGGTCTGGTCAAAGCCCGGAAGGCTCAGGCTTACTCATATACACTCTGACTCACTAACGGTCCCGTGATGTCCCTTGGAACACTACTTTCCTTTACGAAGCACGGGGGGTCTTCCACTTCCATATTAGTGAGTTGGAGTGTAGGGCTCAATAAGTAGAGTCAGCTCTCCCTCTCTCTCTCTCCCTCTCTCTCTTCCGTTGCGTCACTCTCGCGGCCGTCCGAGGGGGCGACGGAGGGCACATCGAAGTCGGGGATCGCTTCGCGCACCTGGCCCTCGAACTCCTGGGTCATCGCGGTTCTCCGCTGAATCCAGTCCCAGGCACCGTGGGACTGGACCCGAACTACGTACCCAACTGGGATGGTCTACAAATGTCGAACGAGGGTTCTTCAACCTCTGTTGGAACATGTAAATCTCTTGATTCATCACATGTCATAAGCCCCCCAAATATGGATTGTAAAAGCTTTCATATGCATTATGCATGGGAGGTTGATGGAGGTTCTATTCATCAAGAATCTACATACCCTCCAAATGCCTTATATTAGAGCTTCCAAGATAAGAATCAACGCAACCCGCCCCGTCATCCACCGTCACCTAATCCGACCGTGTGCGGAAGGTGGAAGCCTTCCATCATAGACCCCTCAATGATTCGGAACTTAGGTTGATTTCGAACACATCCTGCAACTCTGGAACCAATGTTCACCACCCAAAACATCGCAACATATCAGATTTGTTTGATACTTTCGGATGTATTTTGTTATTGCGTTCTCCCAGCTGATTCTCGGAAGGCGGCTATACCAAATGTCTTCCTCCAGCAGTGCAGGGGGACTAGGTCAGGACGTCGCCCTCGACGCTGAACGTCGCCCTCGTCGCGAACGCTAACAGGGCCTTCATGCGCTTCATCACCAAAGCTTGCCTCAGAGTGAGCGAGTGAGTGCGTTGAATCCCCTGGCGGCAGATCTGCTTCAATGTGTGTTAGAGGCTGATTTTGAGAGGCCCAAAATAGTCCAAGTCCATATATGGGTAGATCAAGATTCCGTAAACTTTTCTGCGTTGGGGAGTTGTATTTGATCATTGATCTAGTGGAGTGCGGGCCTGGGTTTCTTAGGTCTACAGTTGAACTTACAGGCTGCATGGCCTGGGTTTCGAAGCTCCTTGGCTCTCCGGATCGCTGCGGATCCCAAGCTGCTAAGGATCCACTGCCACCGTACCGGTTCGGTAGGACTGGACCCTCTGGACCCTGCAGATCCAATGTCTCTCCGTCCTCACCGGGCGGATCCGTGGATCCAACCGCGACCGACCGGGCGACTCCATGTCCAGGCGATCGATGGCCGACTCCAAGGCTTCCAAGGGCTGTGCCACTTTCCTGAGCGCCAGGCGACCCCGTATGACCCCCCGGTCCCCCGAAACCCCGAGCCTTCTGACCACTCCGATCAGCGAACCGGAACCAGGGGACCCGGTTCAAGCCCGTGCGACGGTTCTTACCCACTCCCAGGATCCCAGGAGCAGCCGAGAAGCAGGAACTGGAACCAGGGTTTCGCTCGGTCGCCAGGGCTTTAGGATGATTTAGTCTTTGGGACCACTGGTCGCCAGCGAACTCGTATGTATGTTTGAATACAGCAGAAGTCGGTTTCATTAACCAATCCTCGAGCCATCGTTTGATATGTTTGATTGAGACACTCTCTCAAACCTGTTTGATGATGAACCTGGAGGCAGCATCTTGCAATCAAGCACAGCCCGCCCTCATTTCGCGTTCACAGAATTCCCAGTGGCTGAGCTAAAATGATCTTGGAGGTGTCCAAATACCCAAGAAACTGGTACCCACATCCATCAACAGTCTCCGTCTTCCTCTTCTTGGTCTGTGCATTCCACCAGCTTCATCACCCTCCCAATGGTCACCCCAAATGACTTGCATAGCCAGCTGTGGCTCTGCAAACCCAGTGTATCTCAGAATGGCTGCCGAGCGTCTGCCCATAGCGAGCTACTGGCTCGTCGAGTGTGGAAATCATGCGGCCTTAAGGGCTGACCCCCGAGCAGTTTTTCATGGAAAATAAATAAGGTTAATCAAAATATATAGTTATTTATCCCCCCCCCCAAAAAAAAAGAAAACTCCTTTTGGCAGGCGATCCAGGGTGGGGTGGAAGTAAGGACGCAATGGCCCCAAACGAGACCTCCTGGGGTGGCCTCTTTCACCATGATGGTTCGATTTTGAGAGTCTGTGATGGGGTCAAGGCCACGTACCTCGAACCGAACTTGGTTCTTTCAAAAGCCATCGACGGGCTTAACGAGGTGCACACATGGAACAGTCGGTGGTCCTCTTTTTGGTGACCGTGTGGCAAGCATGCTCCATGATCATCGCATCATGGACATGAGTTGGGTGAATACTCACCGATTGCAAACAAAGCTTTTTCACCTCAAAGGTGTGCGCGCAAAAATAACAAAACCACCTCTGATCCCTAGGGATCCAAATACCTTCTCAGAAGGTGATTGGACCCTCAAAACCCGATAGAAGATGGAGCAAAAACCCCGCTTGGTCTCCACTTGGATGTGACGCCAACGGATGGAGCGACCAGGCACTGGTCGCTCCGTTGAAGGCCTGGAACATCCAACTCACCTGGATCCACTGACCCGCGGTGGACCGTGGCGGGTCGTGGCGGGGTCCTGGGGTCGAAAAAAAACCCTCAGGCCCTGTCTGTTTTGAGGGACCGGTCGGGCGTTTTGGAGCGTCTGGGTATATGGTTTATGGTTTGTATAGTGGCACAACAACAACAACAACAACAACAACAACAACTACTACTACTACTATTACTGCTACTGCTACTGCTAATGCTACTACTTACTGTGATTAGTGTGTCTCTCTCTATATATACATATTACTGCTGGCTATATATATAAAATATTAATGATTATCATTGATCCAGAGTGAATGTGTTTCTTTCCCCTCCAGACTTCCATAGTTGCATTTTCTTGGAAATGACAGCTCAACCGTTGGAAGCATGGGAACCCGTTGGAAGCATGGGAACCCTCCAGACTTCCTTGGCTTACTTAGTAAATTCACTCACTGGAGGGTTCTCAGGAACCGAATTCAATACTCTAGAGGTCTATGACTGGAGCAGGGCTGAAGGGACGACACAAAATCTGCTGTCGAAAAGCACTCGGTTGCAAAGTCCTCCCAACGAACGGATCCGCAAACAGCCCTGTTTCCGGCTTTTCGACCAGAAAGTCTACAGAACAACTTTCATGTCACCGCTGAAACGGACACTGCGGGTCCCAAAAAGTTTCCGGAAACGTGTCCAAAGCGCCTGCTTCGACCAGGTCTGTGCAAAGGCTACAAACTGGACCAACCTCAGTCCAAGATGAAACACCAAACGTGGAATCCCAAGCAGTCTGCTGCCTTTGACCCCCATCTGACCCTAGTCTGAGATCCTCAAAACAATTATTGAAAAGATCCATCTGAGATGGTTAACCAAAAAATTTGCCCAAGTCTGACATCCCCAGTTTGGGTCGGAGACGTAATGAGATCTAATAAACTCCTCAAACCCTGGGGTCGACCCGAATCCAGAGTTTTTTTGCTCCTCTTCCAAAGGCTCCAAACCCCACACAGTCATTCCTTTTTCTCCAAACCCAATCCAAATGAGTGGTTCCTTTGCTTGTAGCATTAGGCGGAATATTCTCACACTTGAGATGCTCTGAGGCAGGGTGAGGAAAAACTCGACAACGTTGCAAGGAACAGGGACATCATCTTGATGTGGCTACTCCAAGTGTCAGGGACATGTGCTGATGATATACAGTATCTGAAGTATCTGATATATTTATATATTTATATTATATTTGACTTATCCCCTCAATACAATTGACTCAAAATCAAAGTGGACATCTTTAGTAAGTCTGACTTTGTCCAAGTGTCTTTGGACCCAAGAATTCACAGGTGATGTGTTCCATTGAAATGACTTTCACCCCCAAAATGAGGCCAGTGTCGGGAAATGCCAGGGGCTGACCATAGAAAAGGAGGCCGCTTCCTCCACCGTGTAGACGTTTGATCAACCAAAAACACCTCAAATTTGGATTGAACAACCTCTTTTTGTGGTGGGTGCTATCAATCAAGAGAGCCTACGAGTCTGTTGACCAGCACCTTCTTGGACCTCAAGAAGTCAGGAACTTCTGCGGCGGTTGTGCAGATCGCACACTGCACTCCTTCAGCTGCGGCGCATGCTGAAGATGCCACTGATCAGGCTGGCCACGCGTAGATCCATCGAACCTCGTCGATAGAGACATCAGTCGAGCTGAGCTACTCGGCGGCCGGAAGAGAGAGCACCTCACCCTTTGGAGAGAAGGAAGATCAGACCATTTGGGAGCACACCCTTTTCCATAGATCTCCACGTCATCACTCACCCAAAGTCTCCTTCACCCACCCAGCCACCGAGCCACCTTCACCCAGCCACCCAGCCCACTCCTCCCAACTCAGGGCACTGTAAGACAAGGCCATCAGCACTGCCAAAGACATCGCCGAGGCGAAGCCCATCTCCCGCATCGACCGCACCACGCCCCGAAGCTCCTCCTGCAGGTCTGGCGGTCTGGGACCCAAGGACCAGCAGTCACGTTCGACGGGGTGCCGAACGAACGGAGGTAGTCGGGGTGCCCTGCTACTCCACTCACTGGATGGGGACTAAAAACCACCCCGTCTTGTAACTCCTGGGGTAGGTTGATTTCATGATAGGAGACCCAGAAGCTGAACATTCGAACCTATCCTGAGTGCCTTGGGGCGTACTCACTGCCACAAAGGAGCCGGAAACAACTAATCATCTTCCCCGGACATGGAGTCACCCACAGGGGAAAATCGGGACCATTCTCGCCTGGCCGCGAAGCCGGATTGTTGGTCATTGATGCACTGCAAAGGCTACGAACGATTGGGTGGGCCTTACAGTCAATCCCATGGCCTGGGTTTTGTCTTACAAGAGTACCATACCTATCCCATACCTATCTCACACCAGCCTGAACCTATTGGGATACCCATGAGATGGGGTTCGTCAACCTCTGTTGGATCTGCAGGACTGGGTGTTGAAGGTCACTGTGACTCCCCAGAGGACTACATGGAACCAAGCACCCACATGGTTGGTATGCGGAACATGGTCGAAACCACGGGTCAATTCTCAGGTTGCATGTTGGGTTTCCGGGGTGGGATCCTCATCTACCAGCCGGTTGGTTTAGGGTCAATGTTTAATCTGCAGGAAATTTATAGCTGCCAGTCATATCCTGGCGGATGAAGAAAGAAATGCATGCTGAACACCTACAAGTCCCGACACTCATCCGCCAAGCCATGCTGAGATTGGCAAAAAAGCCCCTCCTGAAGGTCAGCTCCATCAGCCATGGATCCTGAACGCTCTATTTCAAGCAGGAAAGTAATATGCCTTCTCACCCTTTGAGAAGGTCATTGAACACGTTTGTCTGCATACTTGGATGGTCCAAGTACCTGCTATGTGAATCCACAGGGGACAAATAAACAAGTAAGTCAAGTTAAAACAAGTGGGATCTGTGTGGGGCGACTGGCTAGTCGAAGAGAGCAAACTCAACACCTAAAAGCCAACAAAAATATGCGGCGGGTCATTGTGTCCTGAGTTCCTTGCTCAAGTTGGACACCCACGCCCTCATCTGGATGATCTTTTAACTTGGAAACATCCTGGACAACTCTCAACACTCAGCATTCTCTATTCCATGGGGCTTTGCCAAACATCCTCAAGAAGTCTCCATGATGTCTTTGGACAGAATAGAGGGGCCGGTTGTACACTTGGGGCACCCCCTCTCTTATGAATCAATCCACCGATACTAAAGGACATCTACGGTCTATCTGACCCCCCACTCTGTGACTCATGTGTGGGTGTGTAAAATAGGAAGACCTCCCAGGCAACGACCTCCTGGAAGGTTCGGGTAAGTACAGGGGCGAGATTTCGGGAGGTCAGGTTAGTGAATGTACCCAGTTCGGGAAGATCAAACATCACCTGATCCGCAAAAATCAGGCTCAGGCACTGGAGTTCGCTTCGCCTTCCAGCAAGCTACTGGTGCGCGCCTGCCGCAGCTGCAAGTGCCTCAAATCGCGGGAGGCACCAAAAGGTGTGCTCACTGCGCTGAAGGTGACTGAATGGTTAATCATTCCTGATTTCAGCTCATGTCTATGCAAAATCCGCAAGGTTTGCTGTACACGACGTGTTGGTGTTGTTTTCGGTGCCTTTTATGTCTAGCTTATAGACATCTTCGCATTCCTGGCAGGCCACGCATCCTTGTACTGATCCACCTGGGCGAGCACCTGCGAGAAGCCAGGTCGGGGTGTGTCGCAGGAAAAGCAATCAATTTCATGGTCCAATGACCCAACTCACCCACTATTCTCCACCCACCCCAACACTACGAAGTATAGCCAACCCTCAGCTAACGCTTCAACGCCCCTCCGCCCCCGCCAGCTCCGGCCCAGCTCCGCCTCTTGGAAGCTCTCGGGCTCCAAGCGTGGCAAGGCAAAGCGGACCTTCATCACCTGCCTGGGACGTCGACGGGAGCAATGCAGTGGTTTTCAGGGGTGCAGCATGGCACCGGCACCCTAAGATGTCCTAGGCAAGACAATTCAGGTCTCAGGTCCATATACAGAACCCAACTTGGGGAGCGTTTTAAAGGTTCAGCGTGAAACTGGCACCCTAAGAGGTCCTAGACCAATGAGGTCCCTACAAACCACCCAACTTGGGGCCCCCAAGGGCCATCGAACCTTTGAAACCGCTGCGAGGGGTGCGATGGAGTCACGTCTGAGACAACACCCAACCACCTCCAGCTAGGGCGCTTCTGGGCCAAAAGGGTTGGAAATGGCACTGAAAGGCTTCACTTTAATGATCTGTTGGAGGGCCCTGATGATGATGATGATGACGATGATGATTGGGCTTTGAGGCTTTGAAGGATTCTGCTTCACCAGAGTCAGGCGAATCAGCACCTTCAACAGTGCCCCCATTCAGAAGTTGGAGGGTTTTACACTTCCGGGTCGGCAGCACTTGAGATGATGTCCCAAACACGTCTGTTCTCAGTCAGTGTATCTTTTCGGGTGGTGATGTGTCTTGGCCCTGTGGTGCAGAATCTATCGAAAGAACACCCACACCCACACCCCTAAAAACTTCACATCTGTAGCGTCAGGATGGATCGGGGACAAGGCCAAGTGGAAACAACACCTATAGCGACCTATCACCTGTGCCATGCCAAAGCCAAAGCAGCGGAACACCAACCACATGGAGCAAAACAAACTGAAACATCTTCGGCGGAATTGGCGATGCTTCTGACTGAAGTCCAGCACTAGGGTGTGATCTTCAGTCCACTGACCCCCACAAAAACATCCAGAAGCACCTGGAATCACCTAAGACATCCTAAGACTAAATACCCCATCCTCATCTGCAGCACCAAGCAGCCCATGGAGGAGATCATTAATCTGTGCTTCCTCAGGTTCCAATTCCAGCTGTTTTGATCTCGATTCTGGCTGAGTTGGATCCGACCTTTTCCCACCAAGACAGGTAGCCAGCGACCGTAAATAAGACCCGTCACCTGGGGTACCCAACTGGGATAGTCGAACGTTCGTGTCCTTCAACCTCTGTTGGCATAGCAATCAGGGGGGGGGCTGGAGGAATCCCCCACGAAAGCAGTTCTTCGACACGGGCTCCGACGTTTTTGACCCCCTGGGGGAAGTGCACACTGCCCGAGCAAAGGCCACAAGAACACCGGGGGGGCTGATACTTTTTGAGCATCATTCTTAGAGTCAGATGATAATTGAATATATTTGATGAGTTCACACTTGGGTCCATAATTTCAGCGCCTTGTGCTAGCCCAAATCTCTCTCAGAATGGCATGCCGTTGCCAAACAACTTGCAGTGCCCCGATTTTCAAGGCCCAGCGACGGACTCCTCCAGCTTCGGCTGCGCGGCCTGTTTTCAGGGAAGATGGCACAACGCACCCCAAACAATATATCAAATCAAATATCTGGGTATCCCTAGGTTTTTGTCTCCAGTTTCCACTAGGTCCACGCACCAGTTGAACGGGTGGTTTCGATATGTTTTGATACATCGAAAGCTGGAAGCTTGAAAAGGCCGTGGAAAGCTTGTGAAAACAGGGTGATAGGCCGTGAAAAGGCTGTGAACATTGGGTCTTGGTCTTGGAATTGGGAGGTGTAATGCGTCCTCTACCCTAACGCACCAGTTTAACCTGTCCTTTGGACTTGCTGGGGCTCGCATCCTGACAAATAGCACATGCAATGACCCCTTTCCATATTGAATCAACATGTTTCTCATTCCACGTGAGCATGTCAGAAGGCAGGCACCGGATACAAACACACAACATATGCGTGCTACAAGCGTGTGAACTCCTTAAAGGCTGCCAGGGCTCCAATCCGGTAGATGCTTCATCAACTGTGGATGACTCTCCTTCTTGCAGCTGACTCAAACCAAAACACTACATATTAACTTACAATGAAACGGTTGGACACATATCCTTGCAGGCAGTGTCAATGTCTGGGAAAATACATATGTTTAGCCTAGATAATGGTAATGTGACATGAACAAATTGAACACATGTTTAAAAAAAAAACTACAGTAGTTCAACTAAAAGTGTTTGCAACGCTTCATGCAGCCACTGAAACAAACATGTAAAAACTACATCTACACACTCAAATACATGGACGTGTATTTTACTGGTCTATGTTTACTTCTCCCCGGAGGTCGCACGGGAAGGTCTCCCCACTCCCCACAGAGAGGGAGAGATAGACCGTAAGAAAACATACACACACTCCAAACCAGGACCATCCTGTCTGGATGTCCTGGCTGGACCACCCAGCCGCGGACACCAGCTTCTCCAGATGGGCACCGAAATGGTCGGATGGTCGAATGTATGGAGTCTCTGGAGACTGTGGACAATGGAGTCTCAAAGACATGGAGTACTTCTACTGAATGTTCCAGGACGACCCAGCCTACTTCATCTTGACACAGGAGTACAGTCACCACCCCCTATGAATCAAGCCCCGCTTCTGGGGGGGTGTCCGGGCGGCCGTTGGCATGAAAGACACGGAGTCTCCGCACGGACGCCGCGTCTGAGCGACCTCCAAATCGTCCAAGGCCCTCCGGAGTCGAGCATCAGCTTGCTTGCCTCAGTGACCGCAAGATGAGACCCCGCAGCATGTGAGCCAAACGAGAGGACATGCACACGGCGTTTCTTCATATAGATACACATGATTTATATCAAGAAGGGTGAGAAGTGACAGGAACATACTCAAGCTTAAAGTCTTACATGTGTTTCTGTTGCTCATTCTTGGCCCTCCTTGGATCTCCGGCCTGTTCAAAGGGTCTGACTCAGATTCAATAGCTACACTCTACAGTGGTCTTCTATGGTCTTCTGGACCCGCATGTGTCCAAAACCATGCCGTCGAGGAGGCTGAAGTGCGCGGCGTCCCGGCACAGGTTCGGCACCCGCCGTAGCAGTGTGGCCGCCATGAGGCCGCGCGCGGATGCGCGCTGGCGCGCGGGCGCGACGTGGGGCGTGAGAGCGAGTTCTTCAAGCTGCGGAAGATCGATCTGAAACCCTATCCACTGACCCAGCTGCATCCCCTCCCTCCTACCGTTCAGCCTCCCCCCACACCACTCACCGCCGTCTCAATCTCCGATGGGATCTTTAAGGCTTCAAATGAGGGGGAGGGGATTGCCCGGTGCTATCTCCAGCTTCGGGCGGGGGGAGGCAGCACCAGCCTTGAGGGGGCGGACCAAGTGTTGTCCCCAAGGTCGTCTTCTGAAGGTGACAAAAGAATGAGCATGGTGATGCTGCGTCAGGATTCACGAGTTGACCCAGAAAACCCAAAACCCATCTAACAAGAACAAGAACAAGAACAACAACAACAACAACAACAGCAACAACAACAGCCACAGCCACAGCCACAGCAACACTACTTGCAGTTTCTCAATGGTCATCCAACCTAAGGATCTTGACCAGCTTCACAGTTCCTATCCAGTGGATCTTCAACAACCTCCGAGTTTTGCCTTTGAATCCGGCCCAAGTCTGGTCATGTCCCCTTCACCCTTCGTCCCATCCCATCCGACTGACCGGACATCTCGGAGGCTCTCACTTCATCACCCACCTGAAGGCAGCGCCGGTCGCCCGCAGGGGTGGGTCAAGGCGAATGGGAGCGCAGGGGTGGGCGGGGACCGCGCTGGTGGGCGGGTCAAGGTGATGGGAGCGACACCCGCGTGTTGGAGACCCACATTGGAACCTGCCAAAAACACCACCCACCCACCCACCCAGGCGCCCTAGAGTTATAGAGGAGGACAGTCGCCGACACCAGTACTGGTTCGTGGGTCGCCCGGTTCGGTCTCCAACACCGGTGTTTTGGGACGAAAGCATGGGCTAGAGTGAAAGCCCCATCCATTTGGAATTCGGAGTTCATGGTCGTCCAAATGGCCATTGTTCCACTTCCATGGTGATTTCACGGTGCACGTCACCTCTCCAGTGACTCTCCAGGAAGGGTCAAGTGACCTGTCGGAAGGTTTTCAGGTGTCCTTCAAGAGGACACCAATTCCCAACTGAGGCTCTGTTAGGCTCTGTTAGGTGGACGCCCTATGGCGGGCGGCTGGGGTGGCACACGTCAGACGGTGCCCTGCAGCAATCTCCCCACTTGCGCCAAACATGGCCGGAGTGGTGGAGATGTAGATGAAAAGGAAAAACAAAGACACGGACAGGTAATGAACACTATGAGAAGTAGGTATAATTACGGCAGTGGGAAGTGGAACCAGGGCCCCAACCAGAGCACATGTGGGCGCCAAAAACGCTGCAAACATGCTGCCTTCACTACAAAAGCAGCTCAATCTAAAGAGAGGAAGCCCGCGACACGTCGTAATGCACCTGAGGTCGCAATATTTTTTCAAAGCCGCATGAACCTGAGTAAAGGCTCTGAACGCACAACTCCGCGCAGTCTTGGGTCCGGGCATTCTTGTCCGGATGCCATCCTTGAAAGGTCGGGAGGTCTCACTTGGAGTCTGAGGATACACATGGATGTGTCTGGGATGTTACAGTAATTCGTCTGTTAACCGCCCACACTCCCGACGATCCCGGTACAAGATTGAGTTGTATCAGGTCAATGGCATTCTCTCACGATACCCTCATTTTGACCTTCCCTTAACTGACGTACTATGTCTAATGTACACCGACTAAAGCAGCTTGCATGAGAATGTCAAGTTGTAAACTGTGTGGCTGATCAACTTCAGAAACGAAGACCTGCTGCCAAGCAAAATGGCTCGAACTTGCACACTGTCTCCAATCGTGGATCCGCAGCACAGTCCGCCTCTCTACGACTTCTCGGACTTCGCTCTCCCGTTGGGTCCAGTCGTACCTCCTCCAGTCGAAAAAAATTCGACCCTTCAAACCCACCCCAGTTCCAGAAACGAAGCTACGACTGGAGCCTCTGACTAGCTCCACTCCAACCGGTGCTGTCAGTCCGACCTCTAACGACCCATCCGACGACCCGGGTGGCGCCCCGGGTCCGCTTCAAGCGAACATGGTGAAGGCCCGGGACGGGAGTCAAACGGTCCAGTTTCCCAAAAGCACTGAAGAAGTGACCTGGTGTCCGGAATTGCACTCACATGCTCAATATATATATATATATATTATATATATAAGGCGTATCAAGGATGGTCTGAGTCTGGGTAATCTAGATGTATGAGGAAGAAACTGATCTTTATCTTCACATCTTCCATAGATCCTCTGCTTCGAGAGCCTCTGCCCCCACTCCGTCCCCTTCCCCGGTCGCCCGAGCGAGCTGGACCGAGCTTCGGAGCTGTAACTCCTTGAAGAGCTTCCTCCGATCCTCCGAATCACTGGTCTGACCTGCTTGCACTTTGGAGAGGAATCGCTTTTAACCAGCAAAGGTTGAAGAACCCGAACCTTCGACTATCTATAGGGTTCGTCTAAGGTCACTTAACCTCTGGAACATACAACAACACTCCATGGGACTGCCATAGGACTGCCGATCAATTGACCCCCAGTCAACCACCCCTGGCCGGCAGTCCTATGGCAGTCCCTTGGGTCGTGTCTGGGATACAACAAAGAACCGGTATAGTAGATGATCAAATAATATCAAACAGGTGGGGGCTCAGTGGTTCAGGCAGTGGTGGGGTTTGAGGGTTTAGGGGAAGGTCAAGCAACAGTTGTAAGTAGCATGAGCAATAGCTAATAAGCAATGATCAAGCTACAATCGTCTGGCATTCGGCATTTTGTCCTGCATCATCCACCCAATCGGTCTTCAGATGTCTTCAGGATCCCGGACGCTTCAAGTGTCGTAATGTTTGAACCTCAAGACGTGCATCGCAGGGTCGAAGACCCGAAGAAAACGGAGTCATCGAAGACCCAGTGCGAGAGGCATGACGAGATGAGGCGTCAAGGAGCAGAGTCATGCGAAAGCTTGGGAGACTCCGAGGGAGACGGCGCCTTGGAAAAGACCGAACCTGGAAACCCTTGGGGTGGAGGAAGCTAGTCTTCTAAAGGTGGTTCCATGTTGATCTTCCCCGGGTGTACGTTCTGCCAAGTGCTACACTCTGACTCACTAACATGGAAATCGGATGGTATGGGCCCCTGGAAGTCTAAACACCTCCGGAAACGGGTGGTTTCTACAAACTTGAACTCACATGGTGGCTTTCTAACCACTTCTTACAACCATTTCAGTGAGTGGGAGAGTATCAAAGGGTGACGACGGCAAGTCGTGTGCGATGCATGCTCTATGATTGGACCTTGTGCCAGCTGCCCTACTTCACTGTGCAAGGGGAATTACATAATTGTACAGTCAAATATGTGTATATATATATATATATAAAGCCCTCTTGAAGTTGTGTTCATGGAAAGAGTTGGCTGCAAGAAAGCCAACTCTTAGAAAGTTTTAGTTGCCTGTGTTCATGAGTTCATCGTTGCCTGCAAGTGGGCGCGGGTTTTGCATCCTCCAGCGCCAAGCGTTCAACCCCTCCGCAGCCAGACGCACGTTTCTCCGCCCGCACAATGGAGCAGCGCTCCCATGTTCTCGGTGGTTTTGAGCAGTCCTCCTCGATGGCAAGTGCATCAAAATGGACATACAAGCACAACAATGGAGCATTCAACACACAAAGGGAGATCTATGCCACCCATGGAGCGTGGGAAAGCATCTGTCTCACACATAAAGAAATCATTCCAAGGTTGGTTATGCACGCACAGATCATATTATACATAAAATATACACACACCAATCGCTCAAAGTCAGAAACTCCAGGATTCCTACAGGATTCCTTCCCCTGTCTTTGAGGCTCCTTCCTCCACATCCGCCACCTGGTCCATCACCGTCCCGGCTCGTCTGCACGGAAGGACCGCTGCACAAGGACATCGATGCTATTTTTGTTTGTCCTTTTGGAGTTTGGCACGGTATACATCATACCTACATCTTCCTGTGAATGTTTTCTTAGTTGGGTACATATTGCTTGCACACTACCTGCAGGTATTCCAATATCTCGATCTGGAGTCGACCTGTTCGTACCTCCTGTTTCATGGGGCCCCAGATCTGTTTCTAGTTTGGGTCATGCACCATGTCCTAAGGTACTTTGAGAAACCAGGTGTTTAATCGACCAACCAAGGACTAGCTCAAGGCCAACGATGATCCGGGATCGTTGGGGATCGCCCCGTCTCCTTCTGCACCCCAAAACCCAGCTTCACCCCTCCTGAACCGGGGAGGGGCGCTGTGGCTGAAGTAGTAGACTAGTTCATGGCATATCTTATGGAGTGGTTTAAAGTTCAACATGGTTCATCTGGAGTAGACCCCAAGGTTGTAAACCGCAACCCCTCTTTAGGCTTAGGGAGGTTGATGGAATCAAATTCGTTTTGAACAGCTCAGCATCGTCATGTTCCATACGTGGAATTCATTCGCCCCACCATCCCACCCAATAACATGAATAAACAATGTCCACATCAGCCAACAGGTTCACATACTCAATTTATATATTAGCACCCAATAGGTTCACATCACCTTCCTCATCCACTGCCACCCTCACCACCCACGAACCTTGTGATGCCGCGATCGGGGTGGGTTCAGCTTTCGTCGGCCAAAGGTAGGGTCGCTGAGAAGACGCGATGCATGAAGTCGCCTACAACCGCACACACCAGTCATATGGAATGCTTGGCATACTTTGGGGTAGAGTCTAAAACGGTCCAAGTCCAAGGGGTGAATCTTTTGGTGAAACAAGCTCTCGATTCTTACAGTCCCATGGGACTGCCAGGACTGCCGATCAGTTGGGGTGGTTTGGGGGGTCAATGTAGGCATATATTCCATACATGGAGTGTGTGGGATAGAGTGTCTGGGCAGTCCCAAAGTGAAACAATAATCACAAAGGCCGTGTGTTGCTTGATGATGTGGGTGTCTCCTCGAAAGTGGTTGTAGGTCAAGAGCACAAAGAGCTCCGTGGTACTTTCTTCATTTGGGTCAGGTGGGGAGGTCAAATGAACATGTAATGATGCCATGATCCAGTTCGCTAAGTATATGCCTTTACTTGGATGTACTTGGAGCCCTGTTGAGTATATATGGTCGCCCCATACTCTTGCAATGGCTCACGTGCCATGTTCCAATTGTTTCAAGGTACGAACTGGAGAGTCCTGGTATCAATCTCTACCTGGACCCTCCTGTCGGGGTGTCGAATGGACTACCCCACACTACCTATAGCCTTCCATTGAGCACCCCGACAGGAGGGTCCTGGTAGAGCTCTCTGGAGCTCTTTGGCTCCATAGTTCCACAGGATCTCGTCCAGTCCCAGCACAAAATCTCACCACCGAGGCGCTGGAAGGTGCGCCGGGAAAGAGCCGATAGGCGAAGCCCAGATGCTCCAAACGCTTCCAAAAGTCCAGGTGTGAAAGGTGGTAGACCTGAAGAGAGCCAACTCGTGATATGGTTTGGCAGTTAGACTTGTGGTGCTCACTAGTTTAAGAAAAGACCAAGACGCAAGGACACAGTAAACACAGTATATGTAGAACTCAACAGCGATATTGCTTCTTCGGATTCATCAACAAAAAAGCAACCCAAACACCAATACCTGGAGTCGACCTGTTCGTACCTTGGAAAACTTGTGCAAGCAGTACATGTTTCTAGTTCGGTTCATGTTCCATTTTCTAGGGTAGGCACTGTACGCCGGGTCCAGGGTTTTGGCTAAGCTGGACTAACTTGGTGCCTGCCTCATCCTGGCAGTGTGCCGCAGCATGCCGCAGCTGCTTTTGTTTCACCTACATTTGTCTCCCAGCCTTCGAGCTACGCCCGCCGAGCTACTGGAGTGCCCCAGCCGCCCCGCAAGTCACCTCCTGGGGGAACCGGGTGACAGGAGCTGAGCTCACGCGATGGAAACATATGCATTCCCCCAAAACTGACATGGGTGTGTATTGAACGAAATGAGTGTGAAAACAAGGATGAAAGGAGAGAAACAAGGAGAAACATAAAGATGTATAGGGACCATAAATACTACACTCATAAGACTAAAAACACACCACTGACTCGGTGATTATTCTGTAAGGTCAATACCTGGGTATGTGGCTCAATTAGGGGGACCTCCCAAGGAAAATAGACCAGTCTACCCGGCCAGGGCCGGGGGGTCCTCCTATTCAAATGCAAACCCACATGGACCCCGAGAATGGTGCCCTGCCTGAAAGACTGCTCTTCCCCTACCAGTGATTTTCAGCGTCCATGTTGGTCTTCTGTCGACGTGGATGGTGGCGAACGTGGTGGTTCTCCACTTCCATGACTTGTTGAAAAAGTCGTGCTAGTGCTGCTCGTCGATCTACAGTGGTTTCAAAGTAGATGGCGATCTGCCCAAACCAGGTCCTTCCAAATCCTCTTGGCTCAGGCACTTCAGGTTATGGGATATACCCAGGAGTCCCGTGATGGCGGTCTCCACTCGGCCTCCACCGCCTCCGTCCTGAGTCCAGTTGATCCAGCCAGCAAAAGGCCGCTTCGATCATCATGGTCGCGGTCCCCTCGTACCTCAAACAGCTCTGTCAGGGCGGAGGTAGAACTTCCAGTGAAGGACCTCCCCTGAAAACCCACACGGTGTGGGCCGGGCCTTCTTTGGTTGGAAAGCACCTGGCCTCGGAACAATGAGTACAAGTAACAAGCATACCATACAAGATCCTACAAGTAAGTACCGTCTCTTCGGTCATGTCCCCCATGTTCGCACAGGTCTGGGTCCGGGTCTTTGGGACAGCGGCCCGGGGCAAATAGTGGGGACCCGGAGAATCGGTCTTTCCACCCTATTCCTGTTGAGTGGGGAAAGTCAATCCAAACCCTAGGGCTCCAAGTACCTTCTGAGAAGGTGTTTGGGGTGGGTTTGGAGGGTCCAAACACCTTCTGAGGATGTACTTGGAGCCCTAGGGAAAAGAAAGAAGAGGTTCTAAGTGCTATGGATCCACTGGCACCGAACCTCAGGTACGGTGAGGACGGGCGAGGTTTATAGAAAGGTTAACGTAACTTTTGGATGGAATTTCCCCACTAGGTGAAAAAACAACAGAGGTTTCTATAAACCCTATGGATCCACATACCTTCTCAGAAGGTCATTGGGCCCCCCAGGCGCCTACATCAATAGCCTCCTTCCTCACCGTACCTGAGCTTCGGTATGTGGATCCATAGGGAAAAGTTCTAACCACTAGGTTCACCCACTTTTCCCCAGTCGATTCGGGATCAGGAGTACCTTCCGTGCCTCGACTCCGCTCAACTCGGGCCCGGCGGACGACGTCGAGGCCGGGCCCCGAGCCGGTCACCCACATTGCCGGGGCCAGCGTTCATCACCAGGTGGAGTTTCTCCTGCAGATGGCGTGAGGTGTGTGGCATCTTGGATGTAGGCATCCATAATCCATACCCTAGGGCTCCAAGTGCCTTCTGAGAAGGTGTTTGGGGTGGATTTGGAGGGTTCAAACACCTTCTGAGGAGGTACGACTGGAGGTGTAGGGATAGGAATCCAAGTACCTTCTCAGAAGGCTTCGGCACGTGGACCTTGAAAACCCTTCCGTGTCTCCAATCACCTTCTTATAGAAGGTACTTGGATCCCTAGAAGGTGATTACATGGGGGATTGCTGTTCCCCAAGAGCTCATACTGAGATTGTTATGGGAATGTATGGGATGGTTTACCTACAATTCACTTTCAGGGATCAATCTCTATAGGCAAACATGTTGCATAAATAATCATAATGTATAGATGACTGTATGCGCCCTATCTGGGCTCTACACATTGCACAAACATAAACATTCCATAATTGGACGAACTGTCAGCAAGTGGTTGGCAGTCCTAAACACATTGTTTTCAACAATATTAGTATCCCTCCCACTATAGTCACTAGTCCTGCTCGTCAGTGTCTGCAGTGCCAACGAAGACCTGGTGTCTGCCAAACGGTTGTGGTGACACTGTTCGGTGGACGTTTGTGAAAACAAGGAAGAGATTGTCACATAAATATAAAGTTAACAGGTCGAAACAAAAACTAACAGGTAACAAAGCAAATCAGGTCAAAACTACACTATAATAACTATAACAAAACAAATCAGCTCAACGCAAACACTAACAAAACAAATCCATTCACTAGGTTCATCGTTGGTGGTGCCCAGTTGCGCACCTTGGTCACAAAGGTCTCTTGCCGGATGCGTTCCTGGAACGTAGTGGACGGTTCCACTGTCTTCTCTACTAAAACAAGCCAAAAGCAGTGGAAGTACTGATTGCTGTCAGTGGCACATATGATCAGTTGCTGCGATACGGTCTCGGGTGTACAGCGAGCCATTCAGAACTCACCACTCACATCCCATCGACCCGATGCATGGCACTCCCTGGAACCATCATGGGTGACCCGTTTGGGCTCCGTTGTCGTACCTCCAAACCGGTTCGGTATGACTGGACCCTCCTAGCACCCTCCCCAGTCCCACCTTCTAAGAAGGTACGACTGGAGCCCAAACGGGTTAGTGAAAAGCACACTGTTGGGTCTTCGTGCGCATTCGCCACCCACGTCACCCGTGTCGCGTGGGAGCTCGGGACTTCACCTCTTCCGGCAGATGTCAGGCCAACCAACGGTCGGAGACCAAATCTGTACCCAGGGCCCCCCTTTACCCCTAGAGTGGTTCATGAATACCCCTGAATACCCCTCGCGGTTCATGGATACCCCTGCGATACCTCTATGGAGCTCTACTTAGACACCCTGGCCTGGGGGCGTGGTCCGTCCGGCTCGGTGCGTGTGGCTCGGACGCGTGGCTCGAAAAAAACTTCGGTCAGGGTAGGGCCTAATCCCGTTTGGGCTCCTGTCCCATCTCCTCAGATGGTTACACCCCCCTGGCACCCACCCTAAGCACCGAACTGAACCGGAGGGGGCGGCCAGGAGCCCTAGGGAATAGCACCTCTCTACCAATCCGGACCCTCAAATACAGTTTTGAGGGTCTGGACCCCTGCGTTTGGGTGTCGGGTCCGACCCCTGCCATGGAGAGCCGGATTCTTAAGGGCTGTGAATCATCCTGGTTGGACCGACCAGCAAATCATTCGCTGGGCATCAGAGGGGAATACACACTCCGACGACCACATCACGAACTGGACTGTACTTCCTGCGTAGAGGAAAGTCGTCATCCTTTGGGGCCCTTTGGGCCCCCATCCACGGCCCAATGTGATGTGTTCGTCATGTCGTGTAAACATGAATTCTGAGGTTTCAAAGATGGCACCATCACCAAGAGGTGGTTTTTATGGACCCCCATCTCAAAAACATGTAGGGGGTTGTGCCATCTACTCTGAAACCACTGTAAATCCACCTGAAACCAGTTCCACCGGTGGCGCTCCGCAGAGCACGCGTGGAGTTAGCCAGGACAAGGGGGCAAGTGGGCGGGCTCGGGCATGCGGCTTATGCGTGGTGGGCTTAGCGGTCCTTGGGTCCCCAGCCAGGTGGGGGGATCTTCTTCTGCTCCACCATCCTCTGCCAAGAGATGGGCAGTGCGTGGTGAACTCAGGAATCTGTTCAACAGAATCATCCGGACAGTGTGGGGTGCAAACAGTTGGAAGAAGCATCATCTTCCTTGAGTCCATTATAGAGGTAGAAAAGTACATACTGTGTAGACAGGTGTTGTCCGATTCTTGATGTTCTGCAAGGCCGTTGGACCATCTACGTTCCAAGCAAGCGCATCCCAACAACCACATGTATAGCGTGTATAGAAACCAACAGTCCGGAGATGGAAGTACCATGAATGACCCGTGCATGCCCTGCCATCCAAGCATTCAAGGTCATACTATGTCATACTGTCAAGTCATACTCAAACAGAATCCAAATGAACAGGATCCTGGCTCCCACAGAGTCAACAATCAGCATACAATGGCATACCGTCCATTAAGGGATCAGAATGGCAATAACCATATCCAGGTCGCAAAGAGTAACACGTGTTTGGTCATGACGGCGGCTAAAAAACAAAGGAATATTCTCTATAGGTATACTATAAATCATTATCCATGTCTTCTGTCACCTCAACATCTTCAACTTTGGCTAAGCTTTTCCAGTGCAGTCTGAGCGTCATGCTGTGCACACCGCCCCCCGCCAGGCTCATGCCAATCCTCGGCTGAACATGTCTATAGACATGCTGCTGCTGCTGCTGCTTTCACTTGTCTGAATGGGATTGGGATTTGCATGGATCAACACTCCAACAGCCGGTATCTGACATGGACAAAAACCACGAAATGCTATAGAGTCAGTCTCCGACCTAGGGTGCCCCTGGGGTCCATGTTGGAATTGGGAAGTATCAGTAAGAATCCCTTCATCGTCTGCTCAGTAGGCCTTACCCTAGCTCAAAGGTGTTCACCTCTAGCACACCACTACTCTCTGGAAACCTGCCTGCCATTGTTTGGGTCCATTATTCAAGGTTTTCTCTCAAACCATCAGGGACACGTCGACCTGACTTCGGCCATCAAGGTGCAGTTGCTGATCAAACATGGAGCCTAATCCAGGTTTACTGGAAAACTCGGGAGAAAACTCACATGGACCATGAAAACAAACAAACTGAAGGCCATCTAGGAAAACATCCTTCCCATAGACCCCCACATCCCACCAGAAACAGCACCTCTACTGCAGCCGAAGACGCCCAGAAAGCCGCGAGGCCTGGGCACTTTCCTGCTTCGTCATCCTGGCACCGAGGCAAAACGATCTGTGAAAGGCACGAGAAATCCGTCTGGTGTGGAGAGTGGCTTCAACTTGTCTGGTTGGTGGCTTCAACTCAATTGCAAACATGTGAAGAAGGACTGGGCTCAATCATCCCAAGATGTTCAACATGCTTTGGATACCGGTTGTTTATCAAACAAGTGGGGCCTTTTGAGGGTCCAGAAAGCGCCTGTGATGGAGGACCCCTACAGGAGGGGGTCAGATTCTCAGGAACATGCTTTTGTATGGGTGTGCTGCAAATGACCTCGACATGGCTCGTCGAGATGCCGACGAGACTCATATGACGTCAACGGCGCGATGTGAAGGGAGCCATTCGATTCGTGTCGAAGCGTCAAACACTCCGCCCGTTCAAGCGGACCAATGCTGCACCGGAATCGGCAATATGCGATCCGCCCATGAGTCAAACCAGTCCCCAAAATCGAACACAAATTACATAATAGCACTGACTAAGGCAAACACTCTTGTAAAGCAAAGGTGGCACCCTTCCTTCAGGATTATTCAGGCAAACCCCATCTTGCTTGCTGCTAGCACCTCGCCGCCACGCCCTCTCCCCATCTTCAGCCCAAAGGCTCTTCGGGCCGCTTATCCACGACCAAGAACCAATCCTCGTGGCGGCCAACAGAAAGAACTCCGACCGGCCGGAACATGCCATAGAATCCACATGGCTTGATTCATCCCTAAGGATCCTTGAACCCAACTTCTTCGCAGGGGTCGAACCCGACAGGGGCGACATCCCCCCTCAACACCCCTGTTTTTGGGCAGGTGCAGATCCTTGGGCCTCTTAGGGAAGAAAACATCTACAGCAAAATCATGGGTGTTTATCCCCAGCAAAACTGTTTCCCTTCAAGCGATCCTTCAAGCGACTCTGGGATAGGAACCGGAAAGCCCCAAACTGCTTTGGAAGACCAGAATGGACGAGGTCCGGTCGCTATTCGGACGAGGTCCGGTCCCCGCTACTCAGCTGACGGTCCTTGAAGAGGAAGTTGGGGCCATAGGGCTCAATCTCATCCATAAGGCCTTGGTCGCGGAGACTGGCACCAATAAGACATCATCCGTAAGTAAGGTCTTATGCCACAGTTGTCGCAGTCTTCCAGTAATCTCTCAGTGTATTGGCATGACCCGGATTGGTCAATCTCATCCTTTCATCGGTGGACCGTCCAGTAAGACGTTGGCCGTCGTAAGACATGGGACATGACCAATCAACATACCCAAACGCGATCCATGTGACTGCCGGACTGCCGATCAGTTAGGGGTTGACTGGGGGTCAATGGGGCGGCAGTCCTATGGCAGTCCCATGGAGTGTCTGGGATAGGTAGCTGCACTCCTCTTGCTTCCAGGTGGGGGCAAGTAGAGTATGATGCCGGCGAGGATCGCCTCTGCCCGAGTTTGGTTTCAAGTACGCCAAGCCAGGGCTTGGCCATGTGCATCAGAAAAAGGCAAACCTCACACCTCGAATCTGTAGAAGCATAGCATATTATGATTTCGGAAAACGCTTGACCCTGGTCCACCATATTTCTGCGTTCATCCAAAGTCATGTGGGATGGGGCCCCTGGTCCGACTCGTGCCCAACCTCCTGGCTCCAATTGAAAAAAACATGTGTCAGTGCGATCAATCATCTCAAGTACAGATTGAACATAAGGATGTCCGACACAAACAGAACAAAAACCAACACCACCTATAGAACAAAAACACAAACATACCAGCACCTTCAAAGGGATCTCCAATGGAAGCCCCTACACTATTAAGGGACCTCCATTGGACACCCCTTGAAGGTCCAGGTATGTCCCAGGCTCGAAGATTCCGGGATGATACTACCCAGTGGGAAGCCAAACATCACTCGCTGCCAAGCGTCCGCAGGTGCCGCGCACCACTTGCCGTTCGACGTTCAGGCCAGGGTAGGCGATCATCGTGGAATTCCTACAGGTCATTTGGAATGCAAAGACCCTAGGGCTCCAACCACCTTCTGAGGAGATGGTTGGGGTGGGATTGCTGCTGAGATGGTTGGAGCCCTAGGGAGAGATCCCGGACAGGTCCAAATACCCTTCCAGGGGGAGAAGCAGAAAGTGCTGAAACTCGGGATGATGGGATCGATGGGTGGATTCCGTGCTTTTTCTCGAAGATTCAAGAACCTTCTCAGAATGTAGCTTAGACCTTCCAAGACTGCATAACAATGCCTCAATAGGCCGTCGCACCCTCCAAACCTTTGGCCTTTCAAGCTCAACAATGTAATCCTTTGGCATTTTTGCAAAACAGAGGGGGCATCCGCGTGCCACGTGCAGGTCCCCACAGCAGGAGCCCTGGGAGCCATTCACGTCACGTCCCGGAAGCTCCAGAGCGGAGCCCGTCTCAAACTGGTGCTGCTTGGCAGTGCTTGGTATCCCAGGGTCCAGGTACCATGTTTCTCGGACCTGCGTTTGGCGCCCTTCGACCCTTCTCTGGTTTCGCTTCCACCTCGGCACCTATGGAGTCTAAGGGGCCTAAAGGCGCCCATGGATCCGATGGTCGGATGGTCGACGGGTCGTGAGATCCGTCTCAAGTTCACCGAGGCTCTCATCCTTGTGTGGCACATCCGTACGGTCCTCAGTGCGTACGCCTTCCGGTCGCACACCACCCAGCACGAAGGGTGCGCCGTTGGCATTGAGCTCCTGAGGGGAGTGGAAGCGCGAGGAAAAGCAGTCCGGGGTTGGGTTTGTGGAGGCGCAGACCTATGAAGGTGGAATTCCTGGGCGCGTGGAGGTGCATCGAATCTTCGGTCGGATCACCTCTTTAGATTGGTTGCAGTCCCCAGGTCGAAAGAGCTCAGTTTCTTTTCTTGCTCAAGTGCTTAGGTATTCTAGAAATCCTATCCAACGAAACACTTGTTAGGGCCTGGTCCGCTATATGAGCAATAATGCACAGCCTGCGATTCGCAAACGCACTTTCGACTTGGTTTGCTGTAGGGTCGTGTGTGTGCTGTAGGATCGCGGTGGTGCCCCAAGAAATCGCTGAGGTGCTCAGCACGTTACATGCAGAAATCGACTGTTGCTTGAACGCTCGTTCGTCCTTGATCGTGGTCTTGGTGCCCGTCAGCAAGCTGGTACCGCTCATCACGAAGCCTCAACCATTCAGAACACAGCCCATGTACGTGTCAGGCCGCAGGGCGTGGGAAAGGGTCTAAGGGTCAGTTCCACACCCCTTGGGCCCCTTCCAGTCCCCTCGGGTACACCAGCAACTGCCTCAACATTCCAACCTTGCAACACAACAAGCAACTTGCCATATTATACAGAAAATACAATATACCGCAATCCATCCAGGGTGAAATCCCTTCCCAAACCTCCTGCCCGCGCCGCGCGCGCCGGCGCGCCTTGTGTGTAGGTGTAGACGTCCACCTTTCGTGTCGCCATGCCTTTGCCCCGGAACTCCTGCACCAAGCGCCAAACCTGCAGTGAGTACCACGCACTAAACATGCGCGCCAAACATGGCTGCATGAGTGTTCTCCAAGCTGGAAAGTGCCCCAAAAATCATTGAACAAATCAATGAAACACCTATGGAAGTGGAACCCCCCTGTTAGGAGAAGATGACATCTTCCAAGAGGCCATGTTCCACTTCCATGGGATGTTGCCCTAGCGCTTCCTGTCGGGATGCCCTGCCTGGAGACCTGTAAGGAAATGGGTCTTCTTCTCCGGAGTCTGTGTGTGTGTCATTTTTAGGGCGGGCCCAAGAAGTGAGTGGAAGCACTTGACCACCCCAGCATTGAAATTCGTGACACACTCGCTGAAACCATCATGGAAGTGGATGGCCGGTATGGCCTCTAGAAGACCGTTTTCCTCTGTAAGGGGGTCCTGGTCAGCTTCCATGCTTGTTGGATTATTGATAAATCTTATGATGTTGTTATGGAGAATCCGACTCCTGCGATGTAGGGCCCGAGAATTCTTAGGGTGCCATGTAGGGCCCAAGGATTCTAAGGGTGCCTCAAAAAAATATGTTCAATTCCCAATCTGCAACTGGAGTCAGGCTGGGCATTGTGCAAGCCACATGCCACCTTGACGTGTCCACCTACCCTCCTTCCAACCATCTTGCAAGTTGGAAATGCCTTCGCAAATGGTTCCTGGACAATGGTCCACTTCCTTCACGAGCAGGGAATTGTCCACTTCCATGTTTGTTGCAGGGGGGTTATGTGTATGTCCTCCTAGGACCCACATCCTCACCTTAGCCCAAGCAGCGCCGAAGTCCGTTGGCATCGAGACATACCCCGCGTGCAGCAACAACGCCACCCCGGCCGCCTGTCAAGGCATACGAACAGGACATGGAAGTGGATAGTGGCCGCTTGGAAGACCAAGTTCCTCTACAAACAGGTGGTTTTCCATGGTTTTCCACTTCCATGTGTTAGTTCCACGGGGAGCAAATACTATTAAGCTACACACCCGTATGGGCACAACAAGTAATTGTATATAATAGGTTCCAAAGGCATGGTTTCCAGTGAAACACTCACAGATCTCACAGCATGCTTTTAAGGCGCTTCGACGTGCTCTGCCTTGGCTTCCTGGTCCAGCGTCTCCTGCAGGAGTAGGTCGCGCTGGCAATGACCTGGTCTCGGTTGCTCACCAGCCATACGCTATACCACTCCCAAAGTGGCCCCGTCCAACCACTTGTCACCTGTAGCTTGCAATGTCCAACCACTTGTCACCTGTGCAATGTTGAGCCGAATCTATCATCTCCAGCAGACCTACACCGAATACCACGACTGAATTGCGGACTTACAAATCCGACCCATTCGTTTTCACGAATTCGGCGGGTCCTTCACAAGCTTTGAGAACATGATATCCCCCGTGTTGTCCTGAGTTCGACCCTCGAGAGCACTTGGATCATTTTGGGATGACTTGGAATGGCGTGAAACACCAACGGAATTGACACATATCTACACATAGAGCGGATCATGTTTGATTTGCATGTTGCATCTCTTATTTCGGAGGGTCATGTTCACTTGCATGGTCAAATACAACTGGTCCGTGTGACTGGTCAATTTGGACGTCCCAAGCGGCGATCAAATGCGTCTTGGCTGCAACACACGCCTAGCGCAGCGTCATGGAGGAACGAATGGGTGCGTCTGCTTCCATGACGCGTGACTGCCCAGACGCGACCCTGGGCCCTCATATGGAGGGGTCTGGGGTCTCAAGCCCCTAGGTTTTGAGGGACCAAGGGCTGTTTGGAGCGTCTGGGTGGTGCGTTTCCACCCATTTCAGTGCCTGTTGGAAGACCCCACTGCCATAAGCAAGCACGAGTGCACCCCCTGGCCACAAACATCAGCCCCCTCCATGCGGAAATGATAGGGAATGACTGTTGAGGACTGAAGATTTACCCTTAAAATTTGCCCGACAGAAAACATAAGTATACCCTCAAAATGAGACTAGAAGATTTACCTGACATTTACCCTGAAGATGTGCAAAAAAAAAGTTAAGTCCGATGCATGGGTTGGGAATGCCTTTCTTTGATTTCACGGGTCTAATTCTTCCCAAACAGCTCGTTTTTCGGCCGAGCATGCAGTGCGTCCTCCATCCCTCTGTCCTGACGCCCGTGACCAACTCACGGAGCCCAACCTGGGCCACTTTGGAGCCCAAGTCGTGCGACGGGCCGGTGAAATCCAAGACCTGCGCAGTCCGTGGCCGTCCGACGGGCTCCGGAGGTGGCCGAGAGAGGAGCTTTTCCGAGAGCCGGAGTCAATTGGAGCTTTCATGAAAAGTTCCTTTGGCGGACAAAGTGTTGGAAATGGTAGAATGTTGATGATGTGTTATATATATATATATAAAGCACCGGTGGGTGAACATGCTCCCCCAAAGGCACAAGTTGATGACGTCAGAAAAACCGTGGTAGAGTTCTCCCAAGCACTCCATGTTGGTAGAAAAAATTACTTTCACACATTCAAAACAAATGGAGTCTTTGGGCTTACAATGTTCTGGGGAAGCTGGGATGTCACAGCAGTCAAAGCAGCCGCCTAGTGGTGTGGTGGCTATCTTGAAGCAATTGGATGATAGCAGTTGGATCCTTTTGTCGCCGTGTCTGAGTGGTCAAATGTCTGTTTGAATGATCTGGATACCCCGAATTGGTCTGCATCATTGCATCATGGTGATCTGCGGAGGCCGAGTTCCGCTCTTGATTATAAACCCCGCCCTAGGCGCACCCACACGCTAGGTCACCCCGTTCAGATGTTCTCAGCCGAAGCAACCACGCGTGCGGACGCGATGGCTTCTTCCAGCTCCTGCAGTGGTGCCAGCAGGTCTGGTTGAGCTCAGTGGGTGAGAAAAACAACACACATCACCAGAAAGGGTTCAAAATAGTTTCAAACTGTGGGTGGTCAGCTGTCAAGTAGCCCAGCACCAGTGGTGTTAGCCAGCCAGTTGCGTGAAAATACTGGTAGACCACCCCGGGTTCCCTATACCGCCGGTGATACCCGCTGGGTCGGCAAAGCGAGCACTTCCTGTCAAGGTTCAGTGCTGCAGAGGGTCCTACAGCATACAGAATCCGCTGCAGGGTTAAGTAGTAAATCCCCTTAGCAATTATCACTGATTATCACTGTCTTCGGCGGAAAGGGTACATACATGTATATACATACCATGATTAATAAAGCACACTGAAAATTAGACTGCCCTCGAGCATAGCAGCCAGAAGCAGCCAGATTCTGCGGGCATTATATCAGTAATATTATATGCATGCATGCATGTATGTAGTGTGCGTTTTCAGCCAGCTGGATCTGTCAGCATAGCTGAAGTCCGAACGATCAAGAGAGAGATGGATGAAACGAGATGGATAGACTCGACGCGTCGAGTCGTCAGCAAGGCACGTCCGGAGACCCCCAAAAGTACTAGTTGATGGGCCGATCCAGCTGATAGATTCTCAGGTGGGCCCTAGCAGGAACTCATCTCCCTATTCCAATAATCAGGGACCCCCTGCTTACCGTCATAGGCCACCATGCAACTAGATGCTGCCCTGTTTTGTCCGATACAACGCAGCTCAATCAATCCAAAGGCAGCCTGCTGCTCTTCCCCACCGAGCTGCTGACAAGTCTTAAAGCGCCTACGTATACAGCAAGCTTCACCTTTTGCATGCCCTTGTGGTAGTGTCTTCTGAGGCTTGCGGGCTAAATTGATGCCATGTGTTTTCTTCTTTTTTTTTTACCCGTTTCTGTTTGGTACTCTTCCTATTTCGTTCGCTGGATTATATGAATGTTTGAGGGCAAATGCACCCTGAGCTTGATTGTCCCATGAAGTCGTTACATTAAAAGGTATGCACAGGAAGAACATCTTGTACCATCTTGCACCAAGCAGCATTGAAGGAGCTGGTGTTTCCAAGTATCCTTTCCAAGATCCTAAGATCCTCTGAACATCCACATCTCGTTCTGTTTGCTTTAGCACCTGCAGTAGCTCGACATCTCCAGCTTTTCACGCGGCGAGGACGCTGAAGGCATCGGTGCCAGGCACCTATTGCAATTGGGATAAAGGTTGAGCCTTGAGCCTCTCCAGGTTGTTCACCTTGGGGGCATCCCGATTCACCAACCAGCCAATAGTAAAAGGATGTACAAGGGCCATCAATCTATGCATCCCTTGAACTTTCAAGGTCGCTGGCATCGTCGCCCAATCCTGCCCCAGTGCACATAAAACCGTCCCATTCCAGTTGATGACCAGGGTCCAACCGGGAGATGTGCAAATGTGTTAGTGGATAGAGGTTGTATATATGCCATAGCTCATATAAGAGGAGGACATTTAGGGGAAGAATGGTATAAAGAAGGAAAGTCATCACAGGTCCTCAGGCCCCAAACCCTGAAGGATCCGGTTCATTGGTCATGGAACGACATAAGCTTCCACAGCTCCAGCAGCAACTTCCAGCAGCAAAGAAATCCAAACCATCCGCTTCCAAAACAGCCTTTGAGATCCTTTGAGACCCTTTTTTCAGGGAGTGGGGTCATGGACTCGCCTACCCAGTTCGTGACTTGGGCCAAGTCCGGTGCTTTCAGCAGAATCTCTTTGGACTCGCTTCCCTCGGGAAGGGCCGCCATGCACGCTGTGGGAACAGGTCTCCGGAACGGCGTGGAGGCAAAGCCAATTTCGTGAGTCGAAAGGCTTGGCGCGCTACGATCGGTCGGCTCTTGGTTGAAGTCTCATCCTCTTCGTACTTCGTAGAGCTCCCACGAATACGGAAGTGGAGCGATTTCACCCCCGTGCTTTGTAAAGGACAGTCGTCTTCCATGCACGTAACCATGCCATATGCCATACACGTAACCATGTTAGCTCCAGGGAGTGTCCGTTATGTTTGAGTTGGATCATCAAACTATAGGATGTTCTATTCATCCGAATGGTCTTCTATTTGTTTAGTGAGTCAAAGTGTAAAACGTGGTTGCATCCATTTCTCAAATGGATGCATCCCTTCGGCTCTCAGAGACTGAGAACGAGGGTATACTGCTCACCTGACAGAAGTTCTTGGTCCTTCATGGCCGCTCACAAAGTGAGGACTCATGGATGACTAAAACTACCCCATGCCCATTTGGACTTGCACCATTCTCTTCACATGGAGGCTTTTTGTGATCGTCACATGCTCTTCCCGTCGGCTTGGCGTTAGACATCATGGATCATCACCCATCGATCGTAGCTCGGGAACCTTTCTGGCTCGGAGCCTGTTCTGGGCGAAACACCACTGGGCCGGGCCTGTGCGGGGGCCATGTCCAGCTTTGGAACCGTAAAGTTGGTGAACGCTGTTGTTGTTTTTAAGATTTTAAAGTAACGCTTGAATACATTTGATCAATTTTCTCTTTGAAAGTTGATGAAGGTTTGGTTGTTTTCATGATTTCTTCCACTGTGCATCGAGATGCAGCGAGATGATCCAGGCACCGTTGGGATCCGGACCTTGTGCGAGGATCGCTCTACTCGATGGTGCCGCTCGTCCCACCGTCAGGGGCAGTCCCTTCCTTGCTGCCGGTGAAGTTCTTTATCTCCTTAGCGTTGAAGTGATGGACATAGCCATAGCATGCCACAGCCTCCAGAACATTATGTGAACAATATACGCCGTCGATAGTGCAGGATAGCAGGAAATCTGAGATCTCCATACCACATTGTCATGTCACATATATAATATATCTATTTTGGGGTGACTCTGAGTGTACCGGGTCGTGCTCACCCAAGGGCTAGCCACAGATTCTCTTCCCAACAGCAACGCTGGCATCTAACTGAACTATGCCAGCTCCAATCAGATGATTCACCAGCCAGGGCACTGACAGGAAGCCGAAGATCATGGCAATGGCCTTGGATGGACAAGACGCAGGGTCTGCGCAGCATCTGGTGATCGGTGACAGGCTTAGCCGTTGCGAGGTGAAGGTCGTACCAAACGAAAGTGATTTGTTGAAGGAAGAAAGAGACAACAAAAACGAGACAAAACGCTAAGAAAGAGACAACGAAAACGAGACAAAACGCTAAGAAAGAGACAACGAAAACGAGACAAAACGTTTTTAACTGCTCCACACCTCTTCGGACGGTTTCAGATGGTTGAAGCTTGCGGTTAGGCTATCGGTCTTACCAGGTGGCGATCGTCACTGGTAGGGTGGAACAGTTTGGCCGACCATGTGCTGATCCTTACTTCCTTACCCCACGAAGACTGACATATTATCCTAATGGACCAATTTAGCAACAAGACTTCGTAAACTCCGTCCCTCGCTGTCTCTCTCTCCCTCTCTCTCTCTCTTCCCTCCTTCCGTCCCTCTCTATCCTCTCTCTCTACCAAGGCACGCCGGTCAAGATGAGCCCCCAGTGTGCGAACTTCCGCCACTTGCGCAGCTCTTGTAAGCGATGTCCACCAGCTGGGCCGTGAAACACATCCGTCACGGCCAAACACCGCTTCGGCCACCGCTTCGACCGCTTCGGCGGTTTGGCACCGGACGTCAAGGATGAGCGAAGGAGGAGCGAGAGAACGGGAAGCCGCTTCGATCTGAGAAGGATGGCGATTCGATGATGTGCACATGATCATGCTTGTTACTGACCCCACCCAAATAGAGAACACTTCCCGATCCACTTTCCAGCACCAGCCGCCAGTGATCCGCCGCTCCGTGCCCTGCCAATGCTCTAGCTTCCCTTCCGACACCAACGGTCCATGCGGAGCCCAGGTGCTGCGGGCTTCCCTTCGCAGCTTGTAGAAGATCATCACTGGGAAGAAGATGACCAGACCTCGGAAAAGCCGGTGAGGCATCCAGTCCTTCGGGTCCACCTCCCGAGCCCGTACCGACTCATGGCTGGTCGTTGCCGGAGGGTGACGTGAGTGACCTGTACGAAACCCAGGTCGACTGACTGGTCGGGGGTGGGGGGGGGCGGATCTCGAACGTTCCGATGCCCCATGTGCGGCAGTGGGAAGGCGAGCTCCCGGAATCCGAGGCTCAAATCCCAGTGGGTTCCGGTGTTCAAAGAGGGTTTCCAACTATACCTTCTGAGGGGGTTACTTGGACCTGCCTGACTTGGACCTGGAGCTCCCAAACAGGACACCCAAATGGTCGGATGATTCGGATGATCCTGGCTGTCAAGCATTTGCGGTTCTTGAAGGCTCCCCATGGGAGGCCCTATGAGCTGCTGCCCTGTCTTGAGTTGCCACAAGTCCGGTCTCGGAAGTGACAACCGGTCTCCGCGCCCCCCACCCTGCTGGGACCGCAGCAGCTGCCGAAGATGGCGGAGACCAAGCTGATCACGTCCTGGCGCGGACTTCGCCCGCTTCGGCGAAGTAGCGGCAAACCCTACCAGTCCAGTCTGACCCAGTAAAACCTGTTTTTTTTTGTTTTGTATGACCCTCTCCAGTAAAATTGAGGTCTTTGACTTGTAGGGAAATGTGGCGCCGAGAGCCGGGAGCTCCGTGACGTCTGAGTCGCGGAACGCGGCGGCCGCGCTGTGAGGTCGGGAACGTGTTCGTGGAACGTGACGTCGTTTTGGGGCGGGTTTGGACAGGACATTGGTGAATTCCTTCGCTCCAACGGATGATCGGCAAAGATGTTTCCTAAATATCCATCTATAGAGGGAGTGTCTGAGTAGGGTTGAAGATGCCCAAGCCACATAGATGGATTGTTGGGGCTACCGTTCATGCATTAAGAGCTGGCAAATGTGCCTCTTCCATAGCTTGTTGGCGGTTACAACCTCAGCACAAGAAGTATACCCCGCTGCAAACTAACAATGGACCCTGAACTACCCCGTGAAAGACCAATTTTCCTCTAGAACCCATTGGTTTTGAGAGACG